TAGCCTTCCACAAGCTTCCCACAATAAGTTGGGTGAATTTTGGCCCAATCCTCCTGACAGAGCTGGTGTAACTGAGTCAGGTTTGTAGGCCTCCTTGCTCGCACACACTTTTTCAGTTCTGCCCACAAATTATCTATAGGATTGAGGTCAGGGTTTTGTGATGGCCACTCCAATACCTTGACTTTGTTGTCCTTCAGCCATTTTGCCACAACTTTGGAAGTATGCTTGGGGTCATTGTCCATTTGGAAGACCCATTTGCGACCAAGCTTTAACTTCCTGACTGATGTCTTGAGATGTTGCTTCAATATATCCACATCATTTTCCTTCCTCATGATGCCATCTATTTTGTGAAGTGCACCAGTCCCTTCTGCAGCAAAGCACCCCCACAGCATGATACTGCCACCCCGTGCTTCACGGTTGGGATGGTGTTCTGCGGCTTGCAAGCATCCCCCTTTTTCCTCCAAACATAACGATGGTCATTATTTTTGTTATTTGTTATTTTATTTTTTTAGTCATTTAGCAGACGCTCTTATCCAGAGCGACTAACAGTTTAGTGAGTGCATACATTTTCATACTGTGTTTAGTGAGTGCATACATTATGGCCAAACAGTTTTATTTTTGTTTCATCAGACCAGAGGACATTTCTCAAAAAAGTACGATCTTTGTCCCCACGTGCAGTTGCAAACCGTAGTCTGGCTTTTTTATGGCGTTGTCACGGATTCTGCCGAGACTGCTCCTCCTCCTGGTTCGGGCAGGCTTGTCTGTCTGTTACACCTGTGTCCATTTGTGTGTTGATTATGTGTCTTATAAGTTCCTTGTTTTTGCACTAGACTGATTGTGTGTTGTTATTGCTGCCACTTTGTCAGAGCTACGTGTTTGCACTCTGTTTTGTTTCGTGTTTAGTGTTTACGCGTGTGCGTAATTTTCCCTCGCCTCTTGGTGTTATTCGAGGTCGGGTTTTTTCCTCATATTCTTTAGACTATTAAAGTCTGTTGGACTTAACCTCTGTGTCCTGCGCCTGACTCCTCCACCACATCCACATCGGTTCTAGTGACAGGCGTTTTGGAGCAGTGGCTTCTTCCTTGCTGAGCGGCCTTTCAGGTTAGTCGATATAGGACTCATTTTACTGTGGATATAGATACTTTTGTACCTGTTTCCTCCAGCATCTTCACAAGGTCCTTTGCTGTTGTTCTGGGATTGATTTGCACAAGTACGTTCATCTCTAGGAGACAGAACGCGTCTCCTTCCTGAGCGATATGACGGCTGCGTGGTCCCATGGTGTTTATACTTGCGTACTATTGTTTGTACAGATGAACGTGGTACCTTCAGGCATTTGGAAATTGCTCCCAAGGTCTACAGTTTTTTTTCTGAGGTCTTGGCTGATTTCTTTTGATTTTCCCATGATGTTAAGCAAAGAGGCACTGAGTTTGAAGGCAGGCCTTGAAATACATCCACAGGTACACCTCCAATTGACTCAAATTATGTAAATTAGCCTATCAGAAGCTTCTAAAGCCATGACAGAATTTTCTGGAATTTCCCAAGCTGTTTAAAGGCACAGTCAACTTAGTGTATGTAAACTTCTGACCCACTGGACTTGTGATACAGTGAATTATAAGTGAAATAATCTGTATGTAAACAATTGTTGGAAAAATGACTTGTATCATGCACAAAGTAGTCCTAACCGACTTGCCAAACCTATAGTTTGTTAACAAGAATTTTGTGGAGTGGTAGAAAAACAAGTTTTAATACCTCCAACCTAAGTGTATGTAAACTTCTGACTTCAACTGTATGTGGCTGTGATCTTGAGGAAAACTTATTACACTGTTTCATGAAAACTCATTTCTATTCCATTTCAATGGTCAAATCCTTGGTCAAAATAGTCACTAAGGGTCTCCATTTGATTATAATATAATCCTGTAAAAACAGTGGAAAGTGAATGGACAGAGGGTGATATTGTACCTGGGAGGGGGTGCACCCGGATATCCCGAAGGCAGAGAAGACCAGAGGCACTTCAGACTTCAGCAGCATCTCTACCAGTGGCGGCTCCTGAAAAAATTCTCAGGAGGGGCAATTTTTCTGATGATTTAGGTGACCTACACACATTTTTAAAAAGATATGTCCAGCAACAACATGAAGACAGGGGCAGCATATAAGTCAATACCAGAAGCATTTATTGACTGATCTCAAAAGTGTTGGCTTACAAAAGCAAAATAAGTTATCACAGTAAAAATAATCAAGGGTGTTCTTTCACATTCCTCAACACTGCATAAACAATATGTATGGCTTTGTAAAAATGAACAACCATATTCTGGCCAATTGTATAGATTTGTAAATATGAACAACCATATTCTGGCCAATTGTATAGATTTGTAAAAATGAACATGAACAGATTTTTTATTTTTTTGAATGGCAGTACCTTTCAAACATGTCTGCTTGCAGTAAGGTAGCACTCACAAGGTGGCCAGAGAAAGAGAACCTTTCTTTGGTATGATCCAGGATGGTGTTGCAGACCTCTTCAGACAGCCTCTGCTTCTCCTCTTCTCTCAAAGCTGTTCTGGGTCTTTTGGCTCCTGTTGCTTCTTGCAGCTGCTGTTGAGAGGAGTCCCTGAAGGCAAACAGACCAATGTGTTTGTTGGCTTTGTACAGTATTGTTGTCTATGTGATGCACAGGTATATGCAATGTATCCATGTATAGTACAAATACTTCAGTTCCACTTAAAATGGGCAGGGATGCATAAAGTCTTTAGTGTTTAAGTTAGCCTTTGTGTCTCACATAGCCTGGATGTTCAGCACAGTATACAGTGGTGCTCATAAGCTTATGATCCCATGCTAAAGTTGACTAAAAAGAGGAATAAAAAAGAAAAGAAAATTGGTGTCCTTAAAGGTTGGATTTTCCAACTTTTTTAATTAAGTCATTAAGATCAATTTCCAAAAGATGATTTTTTTATTTTTTTATTCCTCTTTTTAGTCAGCTTTAGAATGTGTTCATACACTTATGAGCACCACTGTACAGTACACATAGTATATAAAATAAGATAGATTACACCACTGGCCATATATAATGACAATAATGTAATTTCAAACACAAATGCAGTCTCCTTTCATGCATACATTTTCAAATAAAGCTCTGCTTTGAGAAAGATCGAATGATATTGTTTAATCTTTATCTTACCTTATGGCCTGCACACTGCTTGCGAAGCTGTCGAGGGCACGTTTGATAAAGACAGCATCGATGTCCTTATTCTGTAGCTTCTGGTACGGTGGGCTGGTCAAATGAACCCAATGAACCCGTCCGGATGGCTTCAAAACATTCTATGAGGTCGTCTCGATTCTCGTAGACAGTGTTCACGACTCTGCTGTTGCTAACCTCATCGTTGTGGCGGCGGACAGCTAGCCTGTATCCCTCATCCAGTTGAGTGACAATATTCACTCTCACCAAAGCAGACAATCTCAAACAGCTATCAATGTGGGTCTTTGACAGCTCATTTTTCTTAATCTTTTCTGAAAGATGGTGCATGTCGGTTACACCAGTCGCTGTCCAAGCGTTGCTGTCTGCCGTTCATGGTTACGTTACGTTACGTATGACGAAAGCGCGTAAGTGCAAGCCCTCAGACACCCATAGAGAATGTATTGAAAGCTCAGAAATTTGAAAAAAATATATTTTACATTAGAGGCTATGAGAGACTTCTGGGCGATTTTCAACCTGACTGAAATCGCCCCAAAACGGGCGGGGACATTTGAAGCACGACTTTAGCCTGATTGGACATTTAGTGGCTGGCAGATCAGACGTGAACACTGAACTACTGTTGCCATGATATAATTGATTAGAAAAAAAATCCCTTCCTTTTCCCGTTTGGCAGTGCGTCGCCCATATCGCCCTATTGAACACACCGCCCATGATCTCTACATAGTGTGTTGTACATGAGTAGACTAGATAGATGCCAGACTCAACAATCTCCAAGGGGAGGTGAACTTAAAAGGCAAATAAAATAAAATATTTACAGAGCATAGAACTTTAACTATAAAAGCCCAGCTCTGTAGGTTAATATCTAAAAGTGTGAAAATAAAATGCAGACACAGACTGCTGCTTTGTCTGATTTTCACTCATCAATTTCCTCAAAACAACAGAATTGTCAGAGCCTGAATGCTTTAGAATAATGCAGTATGTGTGCATGTGTTTACTGGGTACACTGTCAATTTGCTACTACTACTTCATTACCTGTCCCTCTGTTTTCCTAGGTATTGACAGGATCGACCACATCAAATTTACAGAGGATTGTGCCACCGCTGTTTAGGAATTCTCCCTCATCGACGACATGGTGTGCTTACTCCCATCTGTCTGCATACATCCTGATTTGCATGCACTGCTGCTCGGATGGCAGAGCCATAGGAACTATAATAATTTGTACAAACTCATCCACGGTAGCATTACCATTTCCAAGACATATTCTTAGCCCTGAAACTCTATTAACTTCAGCGTATTCACCATCATCTGCAGAGAGAGATTGCCATTTCCACATTTTATGGGAACAATGGTAATGACTATGCCACCATAATCTCATCATATTCACCATTTCCATCAAGAAAACATGAGGCATTAAGAATCCCTAGTCTACACAGTTACAAATGATAACATAACTCAAAACGTGTACAATTTGGCTCGTGGTGCATAAATTGGGGCGAGAATATTTAGCATTAAAATGCAACTGCATCTTTCCAATGCACAGCCATACAAATGACAGTATTTCATAAGAATCCAATTGCAGCAGGATTCAGTAGACGCTCCCACCAAATGAAAGAAGTGTTTATCTCCTTATATACTTTTAACCGCCCTCTTCCTTGATTACTCCCTAACCTGCATGCAAATGGAAGGCAGGGAGAGACAGAGAAGAGACAGCAGATGTAGAAAGGAAAAACAGCTAAGCTCTATTCGTCAGACTGGAGAACTCTTGGTATTCAGTCCCTTCCTGGGAGATTGAGGGGTGGGCTGCTGGACTCACCAATCCGAGGAGCCTGGCGGGCCAGAGGAAGGCCGATGTGAGCAGGGTGGAGAGGTGGAGGAGGAGGTGGAGGGCTCTTTCCATGTCTCCAGCCATGATGAGGAACACAGTGGAGGCAAACCAGTCGTGGCCGGGGTAGGCTCCCTGCAGAGTGTCTGGTGGAGGGGAGTCAAAGTGCAACATCTAGGACTGTCTGACTGGCCCCCCCCAGCAGAACAGCCAGACCAGGGGTAATGTCAGGGACAGGTCCACTACAACAACTACAGCATTTTTTTATTTTTATTTATTTTATTTCACCTTTATTTAACCAGGTAAACCAGTTGAGAACAAGTTCTCATTTACAACTGCGACCTGGCCAAGATAAAGCAAAGCAGTGCGATTTACAACAAAGCAAGTCAAAAATACAACAGAAATACAACAGAAATACATATATATACAGTGTGTGCAAATGTAGCAAGTTATGGAGGTAAGGCAATAAATAGGCTATAGTGCAAAATAATTACAATTAGTATTAACACTGGAATGATAGATGTGCAAGAGATGATGTGCAAATAGAGATACTGGGGTACAAATTAGCAAAATAAATAACAATATAGGGATGAGGTAGTTGGGCGGGCTAATTTCAGATGGGCTGTGTACAGGTGCAGTGATCGGTAAGGTGCTCTGACAACTGATGCTTAAAGTTAGTGAGGGAGATAAGTGTCTCCAGCTTCAGAGATTTTTGCAATTTGTTCCAGTCATTGGCAGCAGAGAACTGGAAGGAATTGCGGCCAAAGGAGGTGTTGGCTTTGGGGATGACCAGTGAGATATACCTGCTGGAGCGCAGACTACGGGTGGGTGTTGCTATGGTGACCAATGAGCTAAGATAAGGCGGGGATTTGCCTAGCAGTGATTTATAGATGGCCTGGAGCCAGTGGGTTTGGCGACGAATATGTAGTGAGGACCAGCCAACAAGAGCGTACAGGTCACAGTGGTGGGTATTATATGGGGCTTTGGAGACAAAACGGATGGCACTGTGATAGACTACATCCAATTTGCTGAGTAGAGTGTTGGAGGCTATTTTGTAAATGACATCGCCGAAGTCAAGGATCGGTAGGATAGTCAGTTTAACGAGGGCATGTTTGGCAGCATGAGTGAAGGAGGCTTTGTTGCGAAATAGGAAACCGATTCTAGATTTAACTTTGGATTGGAGATTCTTAATGTGAGTCTGGAAGGAGAGTTTACAGTCTAACCAGACACCTAGATATTTGTAGTTGTCCACATACTCTAGGTCAGACCCGTCGAGAGTAGTGATTCTAGTCGGGTGGGCGGGTGCAAGCAGCGTTCGGTTGAAGAGCATGCATTTAGTTTTACTAGTGTTTAAGAGCAGTTGGAGGCTACTGAAGGAGTGTTGTATGGCATTGAAGCTCGTTTGGAGGTTTGTTAACACAGTGTCCAATGAAGGGCCAGATGTATACAAAATGGTGTCGTCTGCGTAGAGGTGGATCTGAGAGTCACCAGCAGCAAGAGCGACGTCATTGATATACACAGAGAAAAGAGTCGGCCCAAGAATTGAACCCTGTGGCACCCCCATAGACACTGCCATAGGTCCAGACAACAGGCCCTCCGATTTGACACATTGAACTCTATCTGAGAAGTAGTTGGTGAACCAGGCGAGGCAGTCATTTGAGAAACCAAGGCTATTTAGTCTGCCAATAAGAATGCGGTGGTTGACAGAGTCGAAAGCCTTGGCCAGGTCAATGAAAACGGCTGCACAGTACTGTCTATTATCGATCGCGGTTATAATATCGTTTAGGACCTTGAGCGTGGCTGAAGTGCACCCATGACCAGCTCGGAAACCGGATTGCATAGCGGAGAAGGTACGGTGGGATTCGAAATGGTCGGTGATCTGTTTGTTGACTTGGCTTTCAAAAACGTTTGAAAGGCAGGGCAGGATGGATATGGGTCTGTAATAGTTTGGATTTAGAGTGTCACCCCCTTTGAAGAGGGGGATGACCGCGGCAGCTTTCCAATCTCTGGGGATCTCAGACGTTACGAAAGAGAGGTTGAACAGGCTAGTAATAGGGGTTGCGACAATTTCGGCGGCTAGTTTTAGAAAGAAAGGGTCCAGATTGTCTAGCCCAGATGATTTGTAGGGGTCCAGATTTTGCAGCTCTTTCAGAACATCAGCTGTCTGGATTTGTGTGAAGGAGAAGCGGGGGGGGGCATGGGCAAGTTGCAGCGGAGGGTGCAGAGCTGGTGGCCAGGGTAGTGGTAGCCAGGTGGAAAGCATGGCCAGCCGTAGCAAAATGCTTGTTGAAATTCTCGATTATTGTAGATTTATCGGTGGTGATAGTGTTTCCTAGCCTCAGTGCAGTGGGCAGCTGGGAGGAAGTGCTCTTATTTTCCATGGACTTTACAGTGTCCCAAAACTTTTTGGAGTTAGTGCTACAGGATGCACATTTCTGTTTGAAAAAGTTAGCCTTTGCTTTCCTAACTGCTTGTGTATATTGGTTCCTAACTTCCCTGAAAAGTTGCATATCGCGGGGGCTATTTGATGCTAATGCAGTACGCCACAGGATGTTTTTGTGCTGGTCAAGGGCAGTCAAGTCTGAGGAGAACCAGGGGCTATATCTGTTCTTAGTTCTGTATTTTTTGAATGGGGCATGTTTATTTAAGATTGAGAGGAAATTACTTTTAAAGAACAACCAGGCATCCTCTACTGACGGAATGAGATCTATATCCATCCAGGATACCTGGGCCAGGTCAATTAGGAAGGCCTACTCGCTGAAGTGTTTTTGGGAGCGTTTGACAGTGATGAGGGGTGGTCGTTTGACCGCGGACCCGTTACGGCCGCAGGCAATAAGGCAGTGATCGCTGAGATCCTGGTTGAAGACAGCGGAGGTGTATTTAGAGGGTAAGTTAGTCAGGATGATATCTATGAGGGTACCCATGTTTACGGATTTAGGGTTGTACCTGGTAGGTTCGTTGATAATTTGTGTGAGATTGAGGGCATCTAGTTTAGATTGTAGGATGGCCGGGGTGTTAAGCATATCCCAATTTAGGTCACCAAGCAGTACGAACTCTGAGGATAGATGGGGGGCAATCAATTCACATATGGTGTCCAGGGCACAGCTGGGGGCTGAGGGGGGTCTGTAGCAAGCGGCAACAGTGAGAGATTTATTTCTGGAAAGGTGGATTTTTAGAAGTAGAAGCTCAAACTGTTTGGGCACAGACCTGGATAGTATGATAGAGCTCTGCAGGCTATCTCTACAGTAGATTGCAACTCCACCCCCTTTGGCAGTTCTATCTAGACGGAAAATGTTATAGTTGGGGATGGAAATTTCAGAATTTTCGGTGGCCTTCCTAAGCCAGGATTCAGACACTGCTAGAACATCAGGGTTGGCGGAGTGTGCTAACGCAGTGAATAACTCAAACTTAGGAAGGAGGCTTCTGATATTTATGTGCAGAAAACCAAGACTTTTACGGTTACAGAAGTCAACAAATGATAGCTCCTGGGGAGTAGGAGTGATACTGGGGGCTGCAGGGCCTGGGTTAGCCTCGACATCACCAGAGGAACAGAGGAGGACTAGAATAAGGATACGACTAAAGGCTTTAAGAACTGGTCTTCTAGTGCGTTGGGTACATAGAATAAAGGGGGCAGTTCTCTGGGCGTTGTAGGAAAGATTCAGGGCATTATGTACAGAAAAGGATATGGAAGGATATGAGTACAGTTCAGGTAACCCTAAGCGTTGGGTAACAATGAAAGAGATAGCGTCACTGGAGGCACCGATTGAGCCGATTGAGCCGGTCTCGGTGTGTATGGGGGGTGGAACAAAGGAACTATTTGAGGCAGTTTGAGAGGGACTAGGGGTTCTACAGTGAAATTGTATAATAAGAACTAACCCAAACAGCAATAGGCAAGGCATAATTGACATGGGAGAGAGGCATAAAGCAGTCACAGGTGTTATTAGAGAGAGCTAAGACAACAACTGGAAATAGTGATAACGTTTGGGCTAAGGCTAGACAGAATAAACAGAATAAACAGGACAGGGTACCGTGTAAAGGAACAGTCCAGCAGGCATCAGCTGTGCAGCTGAGTGATCATAAGGTCCAGTGAACAGCAATATGTGAGTCCGAGAGCAGTTCAAATTGGTGCTTCAGCACAGCTAGCAGGGAGCACAGTTGTAGTTTGCGTGTGCTAGCGGGCCGGGGCTGGCAGATGGATCTTCGTGGTCGTCGCAACGGGAAGCCTGTTGAAACCACATCAGAATATTTTGTCGGCAGACCAGTCGTGTTGGATCGGCGGGGCTCAGTGTCAACACTAGGAGGTCCCGTCCGGTTGACAGAGAGGTAGATAGCCGGGAGATGGGCCTAGCCGGGAGATGGGCCTGAGGCTAGCTCAAGGCTAACTGGTGCTTGCTATAGGGCAATGGTAATCAGCCAGGTTGTAGCTAGCTAGCTGGTTGCGATGATCCGGCGCTAGGGTCCAGTGATTCCGGCAGAAAGTCCAATAAGTTCTGGGTCGATAGCACGCTGGGTCGATAGCACGCTGTGCAGACTGGCCGACGAATTGTCCAGGCTAGAGCTAGAGCTGGCTGGTGGATAGTGTAGGCCACGGACAGTGGTGAAGACGCTAACGGTGACTAATAACAGGTAGCCACTATTTTCAGCTTACGGTTCTTGATGAAAGTTATAAAGAAATAGTAGAATCCTTTCCACGTTGGGTGAGGTGGGTTGCAGGAAAGTATATTTAGTTAAAGAATGAAAAGTAAAAATTGAGAAATATATACAAAATAGACAAAAAAACAAGAAACGGGATATTTACACAGGGACAATGAATAAAAGCGACCGCACTGCTACGCCATCTTGGAAGACAGACTTAACAATCCCCCCAGCATCTTACCTAGGGCACCACAGGTCAGTCTCAGTAGGCAGCAGGAGAGAGGGGTTACAGATTGAGGGGGCTGAGGCTGGACGCAGTGGGCCTTCTCAATGTGATTGACAGGCACGCACTGCAGGGGAGTGGAAGCGGCCAGTCATGATGCTAAACATAGAAGTATGAATCTGAATTTAAAACAGAGCATAACAACGAGAGGCTCTTACCATGGAATAAAGAGAGCAGTCTCGGCAGAACTGCAGGTATCACTCTGTTGAGGAAAAGGTCCGTTTCTAAAAGCCTCTGAGTGTTCACGATGTGTCCTTGAAAAAAGACAGGTGTAAAATATCTATTCTACCTCTGAGGGAGAATAATAGAGTTATCACTTTACTGACCCTGGAATAGTCAGTGGAGGCTAAGTCAGTCCCTTTGTGATTCGTACGGTTGTCAAACAGAGATAGCTGATAAGGATACAAAGCTCCGATGTGAGTTTGGCTCTCTGTTGAGAGAGGAGCTCTTAGCAATGCCTCACCAAAAGACAGAGGTCCTGCTCAGAGTCATCGCTCAATAACATCAGATATCTCCCATACCTACAAACAAACACAAACCGACACAAATTCAACAGGGCTCTACTGATCTTATGGTGGCCGTCGTCACAAAGACATCACAAAGTAGGTTAGAAAATATTCAGGATTCCAGATCACACTTAGACTCATTTACTCAACATATTATGAGGTGTGCAATCAGAACAATTCGGGTTTATATATGGATATAATTAGCCCAAACGAGCCTTGTTTTAATGCTCAACTCTTCATTAACATATTGCCAAAAGACAGTATGAACTATCTTAAAGGAGTTCATAGAAAGTTTAGCTATTGTTATAGAATGTCTCTGTAATACCGCTGATCACCGTATAATTCTGTAATAATTGTAGTTATCTTTATTGGTCATTGAGTACCCCCTCTGAGAAAATGGCTGGTGCTTACTGGGGGGATTGAAACAATGCTGTGAGGTTCAGACAGACTTTGAGGATGCAGACGGCGTACCTGAGAGAGGCCTGAATCCCCAGCTGGTCCACAGACGACAGGCTGCCAGCCTTTACGCCGCTCTCCGACGCTATAAAACAGGCAATAAAGGAACAGGAAATTACCAGGGGTTTACACAATCGTGCTCCCCAGCCATTAATACAAATTTAAATTCAATGACTGCGGCAAAGCAAAGAGAACGTGGCTTTGGCAAAGCTCGCTCATCTGGTGAAATGACACAAACCCTAATCACACCTCTATGTGATACACTGCAGAAACGATCAGACGAGCGATCTGTATTCATCATAGAAACCAATGCATGCTTTAATTGAGAAAATGACCTTGATGAGAGTGAAGTATATCCAGACTGACTGCTGCAGTTCTGTGGAAACTACTCTCCCCTCCTTATTAATGTCAGCGAAGCCCACTTCCTGATTGCAATTACTATCTGATGGAGATGAATGGCTTCTCTCTCCCATCTGCCATTGTTGCCTCTTGATAGATGAGTCCGTGAGAAATGCCTGGGAGAGATGTGGAGGAGCTCACAGGGTTAAGGCTCCAGCAAATGGCTCTGCTCCGCACAATGGCAGCACCTCAACTTGAGCAAATCTCTGCACCTATTGTTGATGTCAATCACAAGCCATGACAGGAGAGGAGAAGAGAGCCAACCCACACTGGCTAGGACAGCTGCTCCCCTGTGGGCCATTTGGTGGGAGGAATAACTTGACAGAAGAAATTAGAAAAGGGGAAAACAGGGCATGGGAGTGTGTGTGTCTGAGGGGGAGATGGAGTTTCTTTTGCCTTTTTCTATGATTCACCATCCATTGTGAGCTACAGCCCAAGAGTACAGCTCAGTTCTGATGAGCATGTCTCACATAAAGAGACTCCAGTTTTCGTTTGGCCTGAGTTAAACAAGCGAAGCGGAGAAAGAATACATTCTGAACATACGTGGTATTGATCCAGACGTCAGGACTCAAACACCTACAGGTCTCAATGAAACACTGACTGACTTCTACACCTACAGTATTTTACCAAGTCAACCATATATTATTACACATTGACTAACAGAATTGTACAGGAACACATAAAGGAACATACATAAGGGAAGGGGTCTCAAAGGTTACAAAGGTATGCTATTAGCCTCTAGGTTTGGGGAAACCATCAAACTAAGCTCCACGAAAACATGAAAATAAAGATTTCAAATCAACACCAATGGCTTAGAAATGACAGACCATCATTGTCTGGACTGAAGTTACTGAAGCTAGCTCCCATCAATAAATAATGGGCAACATTGAGGTCTCGGTGGACCCTGAAAACGTTGGTGTGTGTTGATAGAATTATGAGGCCAATTCGGATGAAAGAGCACCAAAGCACTGAGGATCCTTTGAGCTTCAAGGGAAAGTTAAATACTATAACTAGTGATGAGATGGAGAGAATGTGCTTACAGTTTTCCTGAGTGAGGCCTCCACTTGCTTCACTGAACAGTAAATAACCTGCCTTTGGACTTCTGGACAAAGAGCCAGATGTTATGATGGAGCACTTTGTACAATATAAATAATACATGCAAAACGATTATAATACTGGGGAAAATAACAATATTTGAGTTGCATTTAAAAGGTTTGGTTCTATTTAAGTAGTGGAGGCTGATTTGTCCTAACATTAGATGTCCACACAGATGAGTGACTCATCACTAATTAAAACACAGTTAATTATAGATAACAAAGCTGTGAAAGTGACAGGGATGGGAGCGTTTGTTCTATCATTTGCTCTTTACTTTTAATTGATAAAAGTGTCAACACCGGAATAACTTCAAACCAAAATTCATAAAAATTGAAGATGTGATGAATGCAGTTTATGAATAAAGAACAAAAAGTCTGCATGAAAAGTCGATTTTCTAAATCATTATTTTCCCTGGGAGGACGGGGAGGTCTACCGACATTTCAGTAAGGCAGTTTGGGTGGGAGACTGGGAGTGCCTGTCGGGGTAATATCTCCATTGTCATTCCTTTATAAGATAAAAGGGCCCGGCGCAGGGGACACACCTTTCCATATCAATTAAATGTAAAGGTCAGAGGGAGATAGGTTTCTGACATGGTATGGAAGCGTGTCGACATCATAGGGCTAAGGCATGTTCCTGCCAGACATGCTCAATGGCAGAGAGTCTCTCTGTCTCTCGCCCACCAGGCCCAGGTAGACCCTGAGGGGCTGGGAGGGAAACAGTAAGCTCCTCAGCTCACACTGACCTTTGTATTGTACAGGCAGGAAGAAACGCTCTGACAGCGAAGCAGAGAGGTGCAACACAGCCTTCTCCAATAGATCAGCCAGGACTGGGGAGGAGACAGGAAACACACATCACAGAGGCCTTTGAAAAGCCATTTCTCTTCAATGCTACACCAGGCAAGTACAAATTGTGCAGCCTTTACTGTACACACAGCAGGGAAAATGAGAAGGTAATCAAGCATCTTGTTGATCTATTATACGAAGAAAGGCAGCTCTGTGTAGACCATTTTTCTCAATTCTAAGCTATATCAAAGGCCTTCGTCCTGGGTGCTTCTTTGTCTCTGAATGAAATAAGCAATCAGGAAGTCTCTTACTATGTACACCGCAATCCCTTCACAACCAATAACTCAGAATGGAACTCTTTTAGAGTGACATTCAGAGGAAGCAATTGAACACACAATGACACATAATCAAGATGGTTTCAATGAATAGCAACCAATCAATGACATAAACACCCTCAGAGAGTGCAAAAGTACAGTACATGTACAGTAAATGAAAATCTTATGTGGGTAAGTTAGTCATCTTTACCGTTATTTACTGTTACCCAGGCAAAGTGATATTCTATACCTTTGCAGTTGTAGGCAGAAAGATATTGGTTCTTCAGTATGTAGTAGTCTAGCAGCACACCCAATATGGGCCTATCATTTCATCCACTGACAAATTGTTCGTCCATTTAATCATGGGAACATAATGGACAATAAAATGTTAACAAACTGTGGTCCCTGTCTGTGGTTTGAATATAAAACAGATGAGTTATAACCCAACAGAGCTATCATTCTCAAATACAGTGTAGATTGTAGCATATCGGAATGGCAAAAACATTGAAATACAGTGGGGGAAAAAAGTATTTAGTCAGCCACCAATTGTGCAAGTTCTCCCACTTAAAAAGATGAGAGAGGCCTGTAATTTTCATCATAGGTACACGTCAACTATGACAGACAAAATGAGAAAAAAAAATCCAGAAAATCACATTGTAGGAGTTTTAATGAATTTATTTGCAAATTATGGTGGAAAATAAGTATTTGGTCACCTACAAACAAGCAAGATTTCTGGCTCTCACAGACCTGTAACTTCTTCTTTAAGAGGCTCCTCTGTCCTCCACTCATTACCTGTATTAATGGCACCTGTTTGAACTTGTTATCAGTATAAAAGACACCTGTCCACAACCTCAAACAGTCACACTCCAAACTCCACTATGGCCAAGACCAAAGAGCTGTCAAAGGACACCTGAAACAAAATTGTAGACCTGCACCAGGCTGGGAAGACTGAATCTGCAATAGGTAAGCAGCTTGGTTTGAAGAAATCAACTGTGGGAGCAATTATTAGGAAATGGAAGACATACAAGACCACTGATAATCTCCCTCGATCTGGGGCTCCACACAAGATCTCACCCCGTGGGGTCAAAATGATCACAAGAACGGTGAGCAAAAATCCCAGAACCACACGGGGGGACCTAGTGAATGACCTGCAGAGAGCTGGGACCAAAGTAACAAAGCCTACCATCAGTAACACACTACGCCGCCAGGGACTCAAATCCTGCAGTGCCAGACGTGTCCCCCTGCTTAAACCAGTACATGTCCAGGCCTGTCTGAAGTTTGCTAGAGTGCATTTGGATGATCCAGAAGAGGATTGGGAGAATGTCATATGGTCAGATGAAACCAAAATATAACTTTTTGGTAAAAACTCAACTCGTCGTGTTTGGAGGACAAAGAATGCTGAGTTGCATCCAAAAGAACACCATACCTACTGTGAAGCATGGGGGTGGAAACATCATGCTTTGGGGCTGTTTTTCTGCAAAGGGACCAGGACGACTGATCTGTGTAAAGGAAAGAATGAATGGGGCCATGTATCGTGAGATTTTGAGTGAAAACCTCCTTCCATCAGCAAGGGCATTGAAGATGAAACGTGGCTGGGTCTTTCAGCATGACAATGATCCCAAACACACCGCCCGGGCAACGAAGGAGTGGCTTCGTAAGAAGCATTTCAAGGTCCTGGAGTGGCCTAGCCAGTCTCCAGATCTCAACCCCATAGAAAATCTTTGGAGGGAGTTGAAAGTCCGTGTTGCCCAGCGACAGCCCCAAAACATCACTGCTCTAGAGGAGATCTGCATGGAGGAATGGGCCAAAATACCAGCAACAGTGTGTGAAAACCTTGTGAAGACTTACAGAAAACGTTTGACCTGTGTCATTGCCAACAAAGGGTATATAACAAAGTATTGAGAAACTTTTGTTATTGACCAAATACTTATTTTCCACCATAATTTGCAAATTAATTAATTAAAAATCCTACAATGTGATTTTCTGGAAAAAAAATTCTCATTTTGTCTGTCATAGTTGACGTGTACCTATGATGAAAATTACAGGCTTCTCTCATCTTTTTAAGTGGGAGAACATGCACAATTGGTGGCTGACTAAATACTTTTTTTCCCCACTGTATGGATTCAGGGGTTTTATTGATTAACTATTCAAAGTCAGGAATCTGGGACTACGTTTTTTTTCCGCTCTGACCATCTGACCTGACCAGTAATAACTCTGTGTCGTATCTAGAGCCCAGAGTTTTTCCTGGTCAGACCACGTGGTCTAGAAAAACTAATTGCCCTACATTGGCATGGGTCCTCAGATCCTCAAAAAATTCTACAGCTGCACCATCGAGAGCATCCTGACTGGTTGCATCACCGCCTGGTATGGCAACTGCTTGGCCTCCGACCGCAAGGCACTACAAAGGGTAGTGCGTACGGCCCAGTACATCACTGGGGCCAAGCTTCCTGCCATCCAGGACCTCTATACCAGGCGGTGTCAGAGGAAGGCCCTCAAAATTGTCAAAGACTCCAGCCACCCTAGTCATAGACTGTTCTCTCTGCTACCGCACGGCAAGCGGTACCGGAGTGCCAAGTTTAGGTCCAAAAGACTTCTCAACAGCTTCTACCCCCAAGCCATAAGACTCCTGAACAGCTAATCATGGCTACCCGGACTATTTGCACTGCCCCCCCCACCCCATCCTTTTACGCTGCTGCTACTCTGTTAATTATTTATGCATAGTCACTTTAACTCTGCCCACATGTACATATTACTTCAACATTTTTTTACATTTTACATTTTACGTCATTTAGCAGACGTTCTTATTCAGAGCGACTTACAGTTAGTGAATACATATTTTTTTTAAATACTGGCCCCCCGTGGGAATCGAACCCACAACCCTGGCATTGCAAACGCCATGCTCTATCAACTGAGCTACATCCCTGCCAGCCATTCCCTCCCCTACCCTGGACGACGCTGGGCCAATTGTGCACCGCCCATGAGTCTCCCGGTCGCGGCCGGCTGCGACAGAGCCTGGATTCGAACCAGGATCTCTAGTGGTACAGTTAGCACTGCGATGCAGTGCCTTAGACCACTGCTACCTCAACTAGCCGGTGCCCCCGCACATTGACTCTGCACCGGTACCCCCCTGTATATATAGCCTCCCTACTGTTATTTTATTTTACTTCGGCACTTTTTTTCTCAACACTTTTTTTGTTGTTGTTTTATTTTTACTTTTTTGTAAAAAATAAATGCACTGTTGGTTAAGGGCTGTAAGTAAGCATTTCACTGTAATGTCTGCACCTGTTGTATTCGGCGCATGTGGCCAATAAAATTAGATTTGATTTGATTATAACATCATAATATATCACCCACCATTTGCTGAGACAATGTTGGACTTGGTGGTCATGACTTTACAGTATTGTCTCCTACAGGTATCCATCCAGCTCCCATCCTTCTCTGTGTCCTTGGTGGAGGCACTTATCTCAGAGTCTACAGACAAAACCAAAACACATCGCTCACTCACTGACTACCAAATGTAATCATTCATATCCTAATTTACCTTCAGGAGAGCCTATCGCCTCCATTATGCAATCAGAGACATCTTTTATTTCAGAACCCTGACCTTTTAAACAACATTGACATTGTGTCTGAATCTAAAGTGCCACCTCACCTCCCAGACTTTTGTTTAGAATTTCAATTAGCCTCTCTAGCCTTAATCTCTAATGGCAACCAATGCTTGATGTTCCAATTCAGGCTATACATTTCTAAATGCCTTGTTTTCAATGCCTCTACTGATTAAGGGGGCATTGTTTGTATTGAGTGCTGTTGAATAGCCTATTTTTATATATTTACACCACAGGCAAAGCAGAACTGTAATGAAAGGAAAGGTTTTAAAGCATTAATTAATCAGGGGAGGATCCTTGGCACCAGGTGGAGATCTTGTGGCTGAATGAACAGCATTGTTCAAGAGACTCTGTCCCTGCACCCAACTCCACAGCTAATGACAGACATGGTCACCCAAACCCTTCATATGCGAACTTCAAACAACAACATCTTTATTGACCTATTGCAAAATGATTGCTGTATATCTAATACCCTTACCATAGTCAGACAGAAATACACTACATAACCAAACAACTCATTCCAAAATCATGTGCATTAATATGGAGTTGGTCCCCCTTTGCTGTTATAACAGCCTCCACTCTTCTGGGAAGGCTTTCCACTAGATGTTGGAACATTGCTGCGAGGACTTGCTTCCATTTAGCCACAAGAGCATTAGTGAGGTCGGGCACTGATGTTGGGCGATTAGGCTCACAGTCGGCATTCTAATTTATCCCAAAGGTGTTCGATGGGGTTGATGTCAGGGCTCTGTGCAGGCCAGTCAAGTTCTTCCACACCGATCTCGACAAACAATTTCTGTATGGACCTTGCTTTGTGCAAGGGGGCATTGTCATGCTGAAATGGGAAAGGGCCTTCCCCAAACTGTTGCCACAAAGTTGGAAGCACAGAATCGTCTAGAATGTCATTGTAATAGCCAAATCCACTAATTTGAAGGGGTGTCCAAATACTTTTGTATATATAGTGTACATGTCAACAGTGTTGAAGGAATGTTCCTCTTACCCTGTTGTCCCCAGGATGTCTTTGGGAGATTCAGTATGTAATAGAGGGCATGATGAAAACATCGGCCAAGGATAAGGGTCAATGCCCTAAAAGAGATGAATAATCATTATGTTAACATAAATGTGATCTCTCTGTTTACTACAAACTCCTACAAGCTTACGTACATCTATATCATGTTATTGACATGCCATATTAAATAATGGTGTGTATTACTGATTGTCTGTAGATGCTATCAAATAAGTCAAATCAGAGTTATTCTACATGTGAAGATCTAGAAAGTCAATCCTCACATATGAACAGAGAGCCATGTTGGTTTACTTTCCAGATGCAGTGTGTCTAAATGTTAACGAGGTTTTGTTTAATCATCCTTATAGCTTTGTCTGTGCTATTTACATTCATTAAAGACATAGTGGTATTTAAAGCATGTCTTTCCAGGTCACTAGTTTCTGTGGCAAGTGAAGCGACTGAATAGCACAACATCCCTGGAACAGGTTCCCAGGTTGCTAAGATGAATGTTTTGTATGCAGGTGATAACATTTAAGTTTAACACACAGTTCTGGAAAGCCATTCCTTCAGTCATCAGGGCTTCCTCTGCTTGATGTTAGGCCAAGGAGTGTGAGTAGAAAAGCACTGAACTTCTGGAGGGCCCTAGGGGGAAGTCTCCTCTCCGATGGTCCTCCAATCACACTCATACGCACCAGGATGTGGTTCCTCTCCACAGACAGACCATCAATAATGAAATCTCTGAGAGAGGAGAGGGGGGAGGGGATAAAACAATGGGAGGAGAAATGAGGTGATCTCCACTTCAGACACAAAACCACCGTGCTTGCAGGCACATTTCTTTTGTGACCAGACAATTCGGACCATTTCAATTCATGACCAGTCGCAATATCCATTATGGAGGCATTCAAAATACATTTTTGGAAATGGCCTTTTCTTTACGCTTTATTTCATTTTACTGTGACAAGGCAAATGATCCATTTCTAATTTTGTCGTGATTAGACTAACGGTGGAACCACAGCCTGTCATAACATTATGAGGCACAGGAAAACAAAAAGCTTTTCAAGTACCCTTCACCAGACGATGGAACGGTGATGTTGTCCATCTGACATTGCACCAACATGTCGGAAATGTTGTACTGTGACTCCAGAAGCAGGAGGGAGTCTAGATTGCAGCACATCACACTTAGTAATCTGAAAGTACATGAAAATACATAGATAAACAAACGTCACTTCTCATGGACATACAATTACAGATCGTACAGACTTAATCATTATAAAGTTAGTTAACCATTTGATTTAGAGTGCTTGCTCTGAAAACACATTGAGTCTAGCTGCCTACTGCCTACTAATGGACAGCATGTTGTATTTTTTCGCAGGTCTTATCAAAGTTATTATTTGTTTCTGCTCGCCTGCCTTATTGCCTTGTAGATCAACAGACTCCACAGAGGGCCAAGCCAGAGTGCTTTGCATAATAGGGATAAAGAATCCCTAACTGAATTGTGGAAATAGATTTCAACATTAACGCAGCAGTTGAGAGTAATAAATCACGCAGGAGCGATGTGACAGGGACATTGTGCATCTGTGGAGAACATAAAACAGGCAGGTGGAAGTGAGCAGTAAAATAGGACAACCCTGGGTGTCATTGTTAAATGACAGTGATTTCCCTCTCTAATGGCTAATAATTATGTGATTTAATACCGAGCAGTCTGTTCATATCAGCCTTGTCCCTTTGCTGTGACAGTAACACAAGCCAATTGAACAGGGTTTGGGCAGCAACACAACATACTGAAGCTGTAATCAACCAAAATGCTCACAGCTGAGACCAAAGCAATCTTGGGACACTTGGAAGCAATTCAACATAGCATTGTTTCAACATAGACTCCAAACTGCAGGAATGCAAGTTATTGTAAACATGAAAAAATACCAGTCCTAGAGCAGAAAGTATTCCACCATTGAAATCATGAACTATAAGTGAAAGATTCCGTAGAAGCCAGTCAGGAGGCAGTAAACATTATAAATGTTAGTCATGCATTCAGGGAGTGAGGAGCTCCATCTTTGTTCATACCATTAGAAGGCTCTGCAGCGTGAGGGCAATTAATTATCATTACTTTAAGCATGACAACTGGGAGCCAACGTGCTGCTGAAATGAACACTGAATAAAACCGCTCAAGAAAATTACACAGCCACAGCGTTCTGTCAACAGGAAGCCTTCCTCCTCCAAAACAACAGTCTCTTAATTGATCTATTTTGCATATTTGGAGGAGCTGAGCCGGTCTCTCCAAAGAGAATGTAGCTCAGACTCTTTCATCTGCAGTCTCCGCCACCGCGCCACCCTCCCCGAGACACCAACACTGACTTGCCCTCCCTCTGACTAGGGCGGCCATCGCTAAGGATTCCCTTTGACCTCACAACCTGAGTGGCCCCTCTTGCAGAGAACAAGCACTGAACGCACGCTGCTGCGTGTTCACATTCAAAACAGCAGAGAGGAAAAAGTACAGGGGCGATATGTTAAAATACATTAAGGGTTGTGTTATTAAACATTATAGAGACAGCACTTTGAGTGATCTGGTTAAGCAAGGAGAGGTGCGAGTCGTTGCCGTGATGGAGCATTCTGTCAAAGCAAGATGATTAATTTCTGTGATGCTGTGAACTGTCATCATGCCCCCAGTGTGATGGGCACCTTCAGACATTCAGTTTGACGTCCACTGGAAGACAAAATGGCTTTGTGAGTTCTGAAGGCTGTCCATTTCCCACCTCATCCTTCACTGTTTACCATTCATCTAAAAATCTAACCTTTATGGTTTCAACGAGTTTCAGACAGAATGAACTGTAACTAGATTCTACAGTTATTTTCAAGACGTAGCTGTTGTGTTCACTTTGGGACATCAGTGCGGAGAAACCCTAACAAACTGTGAGCTAACACCCACTCAAGCCGGTTCTTCTCCCTGTGATGTCCCGCCAGCCACTCCAGCGACACACTGACGACTGTGACAGTTGTTGGGAGAAATGAGGACATGAGGAGGGACAGTGGCTCAGTAATAATGACCTCTCCCCAGAGAGACAAGACAGTGAGGCAGAGGCCATCCAGTGACATGTCTATAACCACTAGAAGTGTGCTTTAGTTCAAGTGAAAGCACCAGCTGTGTTAAGACTGAGGAAAGCTGGTGTTTGTTTGGAGTGTGTGTGGAATACATCACCCTTTCCAAGATTATTCTCCAGAGAGGTTAAGCTAACCAAAAATATGTGAGCAATATAAGCAAAATAAATTGTTCACATCAAATCATGTTTAGAATAAGAATATCCTTTGTGGTAGCTTTAACAGCCATGGTGGGGTCTTATCTGTAGCAAATGCTTTAGTTTTATATTAATGAGTCTTCTCTGTGTCTAAAAGAGTGACTCAGTACAGCTTTAGCCTTAATTCAACTAAGAATGCTTTTCAAAGAAAAATAAAACATACATGACTCAATTCTGAGAATAGCTATTTTCATATAGTGGAATTATTCTATCAGGCAGTCCATGTTGTTTAAGCATAGAGCAAAGAGTCAATCTCATATTGATCAATGGGTGAAGGATGTGTGTGTGACACAACAGGCTAACCAGATGGTAAACCCCACAATGCAATGCACTTCTGATTTGTGCTCCCGCTCCCCATTCATTCTGAAAGGAAGATCGGAGAACAGAATTCATCTTACCTCAGGCCAAACGTGTGAGATTGCTCGTAGTTGAACAGTGAATGAATTTTCACATCTGAATTCATGACAATCAGCCTATCAATCAAATCTTGTGGCAAAGAGGTACAAAACAGAGTGAAAATTATGTGAAAGGTAGATAATTAATTCTTACCTAAATACTGATAACGTGCAGTAGTTATTGATTTGGTTATGTCTGTAGAAGCACACGTAAAAAAAATGTTACGATAGCCCTGTTTGAACACAAACAGAGTAAGTATGCCCTCCTATGGTAGAACCTGGGACTGCAACTACATTTAAAAGTACCACCTTATCTTTCATATTGGCTGTATAATCTAAACTAAACATTCTTCTCTTTCACGTTTTCACATATTTTAAACAACACATGTTATTTATGTGTAGCATCATCTGAACAAACTGATGTTAAACCGTATCCAACCTAGGAGTCATACAAGTGTAAGTCAAGTCAAGCGTTCTCCTCGTAGTGTGTGAGGGTCAGTGTTGAGGTCAGGACTCACTGTGATGGAGGTGGGCATCTCCCTTAGGTTGTACTCAGCCTTTTTGGGCAAAGGCTGCTGTCCTAAGAAATCTCACACAGCATGGGGGGAGGACAGCAGGTTGACCAAGGACAGGAACGACTGGGGAGCAGGAGGGGTCGGGCAAAACAGTCAAACATCATTTTATTGTTCTGAAAAACTAAGGTAAAGATTACATGAGTTCGGCAGCAATTGTTTTTGTTTCTTTCCTACATTCTATCTATTCAAACGGCTTACAAATTATTTTTGGGGGTGAATAAGGAATTCGGTCTCTAGAGATTTATTCAATCAGTCTCTAGAGATTTATTCTGCATGTAAATAACCTATTTCTTCTCAACAAAAGGATGACAATTACATTCACATCTACTACAGACATTGTGTATTGCTGAGAGTGTATCAGAGGACTGACATATTGATAGATCACCCTCAAACTGATGCAGAGAACACCAACTGTGAATCCATGAGTAGATTACTTCCTGTAGATTGGTGAATACAAAAGACCGGATTTAAATAAAACATCAGAAAACAAGAGCTAGGCTATTTATCTATCAGATACCGTTATTGACATTACATTTTATATTTTAGTCATTTAGCAGACGCTCTTATCCAGAGCGACTTACAGTTAGTGAGTGCATACAATTATTAAAAAAAAAAAAAATTATACTGGCCCCCCGTGGGATTCGAACCTACAACCCTGGCGTTAGACCACTGCGCCACTCGGGAGACTATGTAGGGAATAACTCGCACCAAAACAGATCTAAAAACCCACATTACTGTCATTCTTGCAGGTCTGGTGTCTGTTGTTTTTATCTACGGCTGGGCTGGTTCCTATCCTGTCTGAATATGGTATAGACCAGGGCTAGGCAATCATTTTAGCTCGAGGGCCACATCGGGATTTCACAATTTTTCGGACCGATTTGTTTGTCAAAAGCAATTTGTGGGCCAGAAAAAGGGCAGTTATTTGAAAACGCATAAGTCCATTATAATTTCTACATACTTTTTTTGTATCTAGTTTTAGACATTCAAGAGTGGCCTGGAGTGTTTTTTAACCCAAAATAATAATTTCCCAAAACAGATTGAATGGGCAGTATGTTGCCCAGCCCTGGCACAGACCTACCATTCACACACAGCCTTTAACCCATCCACCATACAGAGCTAACACAACAGGGACAATACTCATAACGCCAACGTCAATCAGAGCACTGCTCACTGACATCTGTCAACTCAGATCAGACATTCATCCTGTTTATGAGCACTCTGTTGGTCTCTGTAGTAAGTCTGACCTCATGACCTCATAAGAAAGGCTGACTGAGTATGTCAAGGCTGAGTTGTCCTGCTGATTGTCCTCAGGAGGTATCATGAGGAAACCATGGACGTTGAAGCACACAGAACTGTAGAAAACTGAGAAGATAATTGACCTTCAGACAGCTCCTGTTTATGGAGTCCATGCGAGTGGACTTGGGGTGAACGACCCTCACATCCTCTCTCCCACACTCCAGAGCCGACCATAACTCAACCACTATGGCCTGCACGAAACCTGCCAGGACATACTGAGGTGTAATTCATGTGTATGGTCCCATGTAGCTCAGTTGGTAGAGCATGGCGCTTGCAACGCCAGGGTTGTGGGTTCGATTCCCACGGGGAGCCAGTATGAAAGCAAAAAAATGTATTCACTCGCTAACTGTAAGTCGCTCTGGATAAGAGCGTCTGCTAAATGACTACAATGTAATGTGCAATAACTGTATTTTCAAACTGCTATCAGTGCTGTCATGAAGTAGCTAGTACCTGAGCTGTGTAACGCCACCACGCCAGGGGCTGTTGCTGCTACCTGTGTCACCATCACACTGTAGCCAAACTTCTCACATCGGCTTACCTGGAGGAAAGTGTTATAACAGATTAAAAGTAGGCCATGATTGCGATTAGCCAAAAGCTATTTACTATCTCGCATAATCAAAAAGTGTGTGTGTGTGATTCATCATTCTTTGTGTGCATTATATTTGTTTATTATGAAAATGGGAACACATTAGTTAGGCCAGAGGCATTCTTCTATACTCTGGGATATCGAAATGGCACTCAAGTGTATACATATATTTCTGTTAATTGATTTTATGTAAATCTCTAGCTGGAACAATTGATAGAATATAAAGATAAAAGTAAAACAATAAGTGGAAAATGCATGTAAGACCTACAGGGTTATTAAGCCTCAGATTCCAAGCACATTTTCACCACTATTGTGGATGAATCAAAGTAATGGGCATTTACAAAAAATAGGGCTAATAGCTGAAATGGAAGATTTAAAACATTTAGAAACGTAAACACAAATTGATTTAATGTGTAAAGATCCTTAATTAATTACAAAACAATGGTGTGACTTAAAAATAGATTAGTTCAATTACAATATGGAGCAAAACGTATGCAAAACAAGGGAGGTAATTAAAAGAGCATGTAAACAATTCTAGTCAATTAAAGCAGCAGGGATTTCTGCCCAGGTTTGCAGTATATGATGAAAACACTGGGCAGTAAGGGTACTTAAAGAGAGACTATATAATACATCTAAATAAGTGTAATAGTACCAGCATATAATATACATACAGTACATAGCTGGGCGTAATAAATACTCAGTGGGGAAGTGGACTTAATTTTGCCTATTCATCCCTACCATGGTGTTGTTATTCAATGCACATCACCAGTAAGCAATAAGAGTTGATTATAACGTGGTAATACCTGCCGTTTCTTGGTGAACCTGGAGAACATGTAGGTGACACACTCATTGATGGCTCCAGTCTGCTGGAGGAACAGCAGGCCTTTCGGAGTGGCAGAAAAGTTCAGCAGGTTGTCCAGCAAAGTCTCCTCCCAAACCACTCTGTGTGAACAGACAGCAGAAGGAAAGATTGACGGTGAGCCTCATTATTTATCCTTCTTAACATGCCAGAGGGGTGACAAAATAAAATCACAACATAATTATCATAGATACACAGGCACCATTTGCCTGCAGGGGGAGACACTAACAAAACTAACATATTCTGCAGCTCTTGAGAGGATGTGCCAAGGATGGCTCTGGGAACCGGGGTGGGATCGCTTTCTGACAGGGAGCTCGTCTATGATAGGGAGAAAATAACTTCAAAGTGGTCCTTTGTTATTCACCCCTGAACCCGTACACTGAACTTCAATAATGAGGAGTTCAGCAGTGATGTTAGGGGCTCTGCATCTCATTCCTCCAGCCTTTCTACCTTCCTCCATAGGAGCACAGGGCTCACAGGGATGAGTTATTAGCAGAGTGGAGAAAGTTCTCCTCTGTTCTCCTCCACTGCCTGTCTGACACACGATATCCCTCACATAACAATGAACTTGGGCAATATCCCACTGGGCACAAACTTGTTGAATCAACGTTGTTTTAAAGTAATTTGTAAATGTATCGTGATGTGGAATCTACATGGAAAATACATTTGAAAAAAGTCATCAACTGTTGTTTTGAGGGTGAAATTTCAACCACAGGATTTGGTCACCATGGTAACCACATTTTAACAGACAAACCTTGTGTTAAATATATTGAATTCGTACCTTTAAAACGTCAGCTCTTCAACGTTATATTTACTATCAGAAGAAAAAAATAGGCTGGCCAGCACCTCCTATCCAGGGTTTTAACCAAGCCCAGTCCTGCTTAGCTTTTACATTTGTCACTGACTATTACCAATGTGCTATCGTGAGAATGACTGTTGAGAGATCTCCACTTAAAAACGAAATAGATTCACTGTTGCTATCGAAGTCATTCCAAATGGTAGGTTTAACAGAGCAAATTAAATGTGACCATACTTTATCACTCATATCATCAATGATGCTATTTAGGCCTATATAGCATTTGCAAAGTCATCAACAGCTATTGTTTCAATTAAACACAGAGTTCAACTAAAAATAGACAATAACATAGGTCTAGGGTTTCAAGCTCTGGTTGAATTAAAATGTAATGATATTTAGTGATATCAGTGGTGGAAAAAGTACCCAATTGTAATACTTGAGTAAAAGTAAAAATACAATTGCTGTAATCATCTGTAAAGAAACTCGAACGGCATTGATCACTTGCACCATGTAGGCTACTTTTAATGTAATCTCAACTGCAATCCAGGTCATTTGATTCCGCTATTAGATGAAGCACAGTGATAACACATTAATCTGTTGTATAAATAAACAAAATATCTGACATTGTATTCCCATTTGAACTTTGCTGTGCTTTTAAATGGCTGAAAGCGTAGTGATAACGGATTTAGGTGACAACTAAACCAAAAATCAGACATTGTTTTTCCATTGGAATTTGGTTATGCTTTAGATGGTTGAAAGCAGAGTGATAACACATTGGGAATTCAATTAATTTTTGACTGTCTTTTTGAGTGAGTGAAACTGAATATACAGTGGGGGAAAAAAGTACTTAGTCAGCCACCAATTGTGCAAGTTCTCCCACTTAAAAAGATGAGAGAGGCCTGTAATCTTCATCATAGGTACACGTCAACTATGACAGACAAATTGAGAAAAAAAAATGCTGAAAATCACATTGTAGGAATTTTTAATGAATTTATTTGCAAATTATGGTGGAAAATAAGTATTTGGTCACCTACAAAAAAGCAAGATCTCTGGCTCTCACAGACCTGTAACTTCTTCTTTAAGAGGCTCATCTGTCCTCCACTTGTTACCTGTATTAATGCCACCTGTTTGAACTTGTTATCAGTATAAAAGACACCTGTCCACAACCTCAAACAGTCACACTCCAAACTCCACTATGGCCAAGACCAAAGAGCTGTCAAAGGACACCAGAAACAAAATTGGAGGTTTGGGATCAACAAAACACATCCTATCCATCATAAAGTATGTTTTTTGGTAAATTCTCAAAAAGTTATTCTGAATATTTTAGAGGGGCGACTCAGGAGACTCAGGTAAAAGGAAGTGTATTGTTCAGATGTTTTCCACACCCAGAAGACTGTAGTAGGGTGGAGTTTGATATGTGAACGTAGGTTAAGGATTATGTTGAATTGCTATCAATAAAGGCGTAGACGATGGCTCATGACAGCCAACAGCATATCATACGTCCTAGCTGGCAAATGAGTAATCAAACTAGCAAAACTGCTGATAAACGTATCCTAAAACACTCCATTCCAACGTAACCTTTTATTGGTCGAGAACTTGCTATAGTAGTTAACTTTAAAAATTTTACTGACGACAAAGCCAATGAAGAGTTGCTTTGAGTTACTGGGTCTCATTTAGCTAAAAGAACTGCACATAACTGCAATTTGTATTGCCAAACTCACAACAAAACAAAGTACTGTAGTTTAACTGTAATATGATGGAAATATTGCTCCTTTTTGGTAGAGTAAAAACACTACCTTTTCCCAGGCTGCAGCGATGCACTCATACAGGCCATAAGGCCTGAGCACCTGCAGTCCTTCCCATGTATTGTACATCTGCCGACACACAAAGATGAAGGCCCTGCTCACACCAGGGGATGTATCTGCCTCCTGTAACAATGGCAGCTCTTTAGCCAGATCAAATAGCCTGATTGAGTACATGATCCACCTCATACTGGTCCACCATTCAAATGTTCACTTTTAAGTAACAAGCTTTGATGTTTTGGTATCAACAATCAAGAACTAAAGGCTCAGTGCAATCAAAAACGTGATTTTCATGTGTTTTATACAGTGCATTTGGAAAGTATTCAGACCTCTTCACCTTTTCCACATTTTGTTACGTTACAGCCTAATTCTAAAATTGATTAAATAAATCTTTCTCCTCATCAATCTACACACAATACCCCATAATACAAAGCGAAAACAGATTTTTCTACAACTTGATTGGAGTCCACCTTTGGTGCTGTACAACTTCATCAACAAGCTGGCAAACTAGCTACCGTATGGCCATTCAAACAAGCTTGTACTAGGCTGCTAGCTGGAGCAAATTTGCTCAGCTGATCGAGCATGGTTTGCCATAGTAGCCAGTGCATCATAGCTACCGAGAGCAGAGTGATTTTCAGAATAAGGAACTAGTGTTAAATGGATGAGCAAAATCTAGATTTTTAGAGAGGAGTTCCACATCCTACAAGACAGATCGGTTGATGGACGAGCGTCGCGTAGGAGTGACGTCATCTGACGTGAGACAATTGTAAGAGCTTGTAAGAGTGCCTGAAATTTCTGCCAGTTATAGTTTGGCCTGCCTGGTGACATCACCAGGTGGTAAATGACATAATAGACCAATAAGAAAGAAAGTTCCCAACCTCTCTGCCAATAACAGCTAGTTTTCCGTTTTCCGCTCCACACTCAGAACACTCCCAGAAGGTCCTATCCAAATTCTTGCTTGAGAAATTGCTATTGCTAAGAAGCAATTTTTTGTTGTTGACTATTTTGATTGAAAACAATCACACTAAGGTACTTAATTGTTACCCAGAAACCTTTAACAAGCAAACTTCCTATTTGTGCTCTGTAAGTACACATGAGAAAGAACTTCTACATACTTTCTTAGTATACTTAGTATGCTACTTAGTATGCTGAAAGTGTAATATTCATAATAATAAATAAGCACCCTGTGTATAAAGTCAGTTTTAACTTACCCTTCACTCTTGGCAGAAACTAGATTTCTTTCATATAAGAAAAGTGATAATCCTCGCTCAGTGGTGGCAATTCTTGCGAGAGTGTCTGCTATATGAGTGTAGTTTCTGGGGAGATTAATTTGGCCTGTGACACAAAAAAACAATTGAAATGGCTTTGAGCACATTGCGGAATGAATACAAAATCACACAGACAACTCATAGAGTGGATATGTAACTCTTGACATACCATCAACAGTTCGCACACACATCCACAGGGGTCAGTTCAGTTTCTGCAGCGTAGTACTGGAGCGTAAATTCTGCAGCGTAAATTCCTAAGTAACAGTTATCATTATCTGAAGAAAGATAATGAACGATATGGCTATTTTCAGCTGTAAGCTAGTTAGTGACGAAGCACAGACAAAGGATATCCTGTGAGACAGGGAAGGTACATTATTATTGATAATTTGACTGGAATAAAGATAGTGTAGTATTGGTCATGAAAGTGAAGGGGCAATAAAAGGACTGACAGAATTAAAGTGGGTGTACTCTAGAACACTATATCGAGATAAATGGCTGTCATAAAAATTAAGGCACATCCTACAGTATCTGTTGCACCTTCTTTCATAATTAATTAATCATCTTAATCGGAGGCTGGGCAGCATGTGTAAAAGAAGGCTTTGTGGTGAGTCAAGGGATGGGAGAGGCAACGTGAACCACACCTGCATGTAACGAGTCACTGTGAGGAGGCTTGGGGTGTTGATACAGTGAGGGAAAAAAGTATTTGATCCCCTGCTGATTTTGTACGTTTGCCCACTGACAAAGAAATGATCAGTCTATAATTTTAATGGTAGGTTTATTTGAACAGTGAGAGACAGAATAACAAAAAAAAAATCCAGAAAAACTAATGTCAAAAATGTTATAAATTGATTTGCATTTTAATGAGGGAAATAAGTATTTGACCCCCTCTCAATCAGAAAGATTTCTGGCTCCCAGGTGTCTTTTATACAGGTAACGAGCTGAGATTAGGAGCACACTCTTAAAGGGTGTCATGGTATATTTGTGGATGTGGTGGTGAAGTCAGGCGCAGGACACAGCGGATAAGTCAAAACGACTTTACTGAGACTCATAGACAATCCAAAATAAATGGCCTCAAACACACAGGAGGCAAAGAATACGCGCAACGCGTAAACTACACCAAGCACAACATATCCCGAAAAAAGACAAACGACAATGCGGACAATAACACACAACTCCAAAACATAACACAGGGAAACTTATAGGTGACATAATCAGGACAGAATACGAAACAGGTGCACTAAACTAGACATGACCAAACAAACATTGAAACATCAAACGGTGGCAGCTAGTACTCCGGGGACGACGAACGCCGAAGCCTGTCCGAACAAGGAGGAGGAGCAGCCTCGGCAGCGTGACAGTACCCCCCCTTGACGCGCGGATCCAGCCGTGCGCCGACCCCGGCCTCGGGGACGGCCAGGAGGACGCGGAGCAGGATGGTTACGATGGAACTCCGTCAGGAGGGAGGGATCTAAGATATCCCTCCTAGGCACCCAGCACCGTTCCTCCGGACCGTACTCCTCCCACTCCACGAGATATTGTAGACTCCCCATCCGACATCTCGAATCCACGATGGACCGGACTGAGTACGCCGGAGCCCCCTCGATGTCCAGTGGGGGCGGAGGAGTCTCTCTTATCTCACTGTCCTGGAGTGGACCAGCTACCACCGGCCTGAGGAGAGACACATGGAACGAGGGGTTAATGTGATAATCATTAGGCAGTTGTAACTTGTAGCATACCTCGTTCAATCTCCTCAGGACTTTAAATGGCCCCACAAACCGCCGACCCAGCTTCCGGCAGGGCAGGCGAAGGGGCAGGTTTCGAGTCGAGAGCCAGACTCGATCTCCAGGGGCGTATACTGGACCCTCACTGCGGAGGAGATCGGCGCTCGCCTTCTGTCTACGGATAGCCCGCTGCAGATGGACGTGTGCAGCGTTCCACGTCTCCTCCGAGCGCCGAAACCACTCATCCACCGCAGGAGCCTCGATCTGGCTCTGATGTCAAGGTGCCAGAACCGGCTGATACCCTAACACACACTGGAAAGGGGTCAGGTTAGTAGAGGAGTGGCGAAGAGAGTTCTGGGCAATCTCTGCCCAAGGAATATAACCCGACCACTCCTCCTGCCGGTCCTGGCAATACGATCTCAGAAACCTGCCCACATCCTGGTTCACTCTCTCCACCTGCCCATTACTCTCAGGGTGAAAACCCGAGGTAAGGCTAACCGAGACCCCCAAACGTTCCATGAACGCCCTCCAGACTCTAGAGGTGAATTGGGGACCTCGATCGGACACTATATCCTCGGGAACCCCGTAGTGCCGGAAGACATGGGTAAACAAAGCCTCTGCGGTCTGTAGGGCAGTAGGGAGACCCGGCATTGGGATGAGACGACAGGCCTTAGAGAACCGATCCACAACGACCAGAATGGTGGTATTCCCCTGGGAGGGAGGTAGGTCAGTGACAAAGTCTACCGAGAGGTGAGACCATGGCCGTTGTGGAACGGGCAGGGGCTGTAACTTCCCCCTGGGCAGGTGTCTAGGCGCCTTACACTGGGCGCACACTGAGCAGGAGGAGACATAAACCCTCACGTCCCTAGCCAATGTTGGCCACCAGTACTTAACACTAAGGCAGTGCACTGTCCGGCCAATACCTGGATGTTCAAAGGAGGGTGACGTGTGAGCCCAATATATGAGACGATCACGGATCTCGAGCGGCACGTACGTCCGCCCCACTGGACACTCCGGAGGAGTAGGGTCGGTGCGTAACGCCCGCTCGATTTCCGCATCGATCTCCCACACCACCGGTGCCACCAGACAAGGCTCTGGCAGTATGGGAGTGGGCTCAATGGACGTCTCCTCTGTGTCATACCGCCGGGACAGGGCGTCTGCCTTACCGTTCTGGGACCCTGGGATGTACGTAAGCTTAAAGACAAACCGGGTCAGAAACATGTTCCACCTAGCCTGACGAGGGTTCAGTCTCCTAGCTGCCCGGATGTACTCCAGGTTACGATGGTCAGTCAGAATGAGAAAAGGGTGTTGAGCCCCCTCAAGCCAATGCCTCCACACCTTTAGGGCCTGAACTACGGCTAGCAGCTCCCTGTCCCCTACGTCATAATTTCGTTCCGCCGGGCTGAGCTTTTTAGAATAAAAAGCGCAGGGCCGGAGTTTAGGAGGCGTGCCTGAGCATTGAGACAATACTGCCCCAATACCGGCCTCTGACGCGTCCACCTCCACTTGGAACGCTAAAGCGGGGTCCGGATGCGCCAGCACCGGAGCCGAGGTGAACAGGTTCTTCAGTTTATCAAACGCCCTGTCCGCCTCAGCCGACCACTGCAAACGCACCGGGCCCCCCTTCAGCAGGGAAGTGATGGGAGCTGCCACCTGTCCAAAACCCCGGATAAACCTCTGGTAGTAATTGGCAAAACCCAAAAACCGTTGCACCTCTTTAACAGTGGTTGGAGTCTGCCAATTACGCATGGCTGACACACGGTCAATCTCCATCTCCACCCCTGACGCGGACAACCAATGACCCAAGAAGGAGATGGACTCCTGGAAAAACAGACATTTCTCTGCCTTGACATACAAGTCATGCTCCAACAGCCTACCCAACACTCGGCGTACCAGGGCTACATGCTCGGCTCGTGTAGACGAGTACACTAGAATGTCATCAATGTACACGACCACACCCTGCCCATGCAAGTCCCGGAAGATCTCGTCCACAAAGGATTGGAAGACTGAAGGAGCATTCATTAACCCATATGGCATGACGAGATACTCATAATGACCCGAGGTGGTACTAAATGCTGTCTTCCATTCATCTCCATCCCTAATGCGTACCAAGTTGTAAGCGCTCCTGAGATCCAGTTTTGTGAAGAAACGCGCTCCGCGTAATGATTCCTTCATACTCGCAATCAGAGGAAGAGGATAACTGTATTTAACTGTGATCTGATTGAGATTACGGTAATCAATACACAGGCACAACCCTCCATCCTTTTTCATCACAAAAAAGAAACTTGAGGACACAGGGGAAGTGGAGGGCCGTATGTATCCCTGTCTCAGAGACTCGGCTATGTATGTCTCCATAGCCACCGTCTCCTCTTGAGACAAGGGATACACATGGCTCTGCGGAAGTGTCGCACCCGCCAGGAGATCTATCGCACAATCCCCCCGTCTATGAGGTGGCAAACGCGTCGCCCTAGTTTTGCTGAACACGAGTGCCAAATCCTCATACTCGGGGGGAATGTGCATTGCGGGCACCTGGTTCGGACTCTCCACCGTGGTCGCCCCTACGGAAACACCTAAACATCGCCCGACACACTGGTTAGACCACTCCTTGAGAGCCCTCTGTTGCCACGAAATGGTGGGATCATGGGCGATTAACCAAGGAAGCCCCAGTACCACGGGATACGCAGGAAAGTCGATCAGATACAACTGAATAATCTCTTCATGACCCCCCTGCGTCCTCATCTTAAGTGGCGCTGTGACCTCCCTAATCAACCCAGATCCCAACGGACGGTTATCTAGGGCATGGATAGGAAAGGGTGCATCAACGGGCAGGAGGGTAATCCCTAACTTCACACAAAAATTACGATTAATGAAATTCCCAGCTGCGCCTGAATCGACTAGCGCCTTATGCTGGGACTGAGATGCAACCTGAGGAAATACTACAGGTATACAAAAGTGAACAACAGAGAGCTCTGGGTGAGGTGGGCGCCTACTCACCTGGAATGACTCCCTAGTGCGCGACCTGCTGCCTCGAACCCCTGGAGACCCTCCCCAGCACCTAGCCGCAGTGTGTCCTCTACGGCCACAGTTGGTGCAGGGGACGGCCTCCCTCGGTATCTCCCTCCTCCTCTCTCTAGCGCCATAACCCCCGAGCTCCATAGGGCTCGGCTCGGAGGTGCTGGGGGATGGAATGGACGGCCCCAACTCTGGACGTCCGCGGGTGGCCAGCAGAGTATCCAGACCGATTGACATGTCCACCAGCTGGTCGAAGGTGAGATTGGTGTCCCTGCAGGCCAACTCTCGTCGAACGTCCTCACGCAGGCTACACCGATAGTGGTCGATGAGGGCCCTCTCATTCCACCCCGCATCCGCCGCTAGAGTCCGGAAATCCAGGGCAAACTCCTGTGCGCTCCTCTTCCCCTGTCGAAGGTGGAACAGACGCTCTCCCGCCGCTTTACCCTCAGGGGGGATGATCGAACACAGCCCTGAAGCGGCAGGAGAACTCCGCATAGCTGATGGTGGCGGCGTCTATTCCCCTCCATTCGGCATTGGCCCACTCCAACGCCTTGCCGGAGAGACAGGAGATGAGGGCGGAAACGCTCTCGTATCCCGAGGGCGCCGGGTGTATGGTTGCCGGGTAGAGCTCCACTTGAAGGAGGAACCCCTGACACCCGGCTGCGGTGCCATCATATGCCCTCGGGAGCGAGAGCCGAATGCCACTGGACTCCGGAGCTGGTATGGTGGGGCTGGCCGATGGTGGTGGTAAGGTAGGAGGAGGTGTGGGCAAACCTCCTCTCTCCCATCGGCGCAGGGTGTCCATGACCTCCTGCATGGCGGATCCGAGTTGCTGGATCCTGGCGTCCTGGTAGCTGACCCAATCCTCCAGCGACTCGGTTCCCTCGCTGCTCCTGCTGACTCCATTGTAAAGGTGTGTTATTCTGTCACGGTATATTTGTGGATATGGTGGTGAAGTCAGGCGCAGGACACAGCGGATAAGTCAAAACGACTTTACTGAGACTCAAATACAATCCAAAATAAATGGCCTCGAACACACAGGAGGCAAAGAATACGCGCAACGCGTAAACTACACCAAGCACAACATATCCCGAAAAAAGACAAACGACAATGCGGACAATAACACACAACTCCAAAACATAACACAGGGAAACTTATAGGTGACATAATCAGGACAGAATACGAAACAGGTGCAATAAACTAGACATGACCAAACAAACATCGAAACATCAAACGGTGGCAGCTAGTACTCCGGGGACGACGAACGCCGAAGCCTGCCCGAACAAGGAGGAGGAGCAGCCTCGGCAGTATTCGTGACAAAGGGAGTGCTCCTAATCTCAGCTTGTTACCTGTATAAAAGACACCTGTCCACAGAAGCAATCAATCAATCAGATTCCAAACTCTCCACCATGGCCAAGACCAAAGAGCTCTCCAAGGATGTCAGGGACAAGATTGTAGACCTACACAAGGCTGGAATGAGCTACAAGACCATCGCCAAGCAGCTTGGTGAGAAGGTGACAACAGTTTGTGCGATTATTTGCAAATGGAAGAAACACAAAATAACTGTCAATCTCCCTCAGCCTGGGGCTCCATGCAATATCTCACCTCGTGGAGTTGCAATGATCATGAGAACGGTGAGGAATCAGCCCAGAACTACACAGGAGGATCTTGTCAATGATCTCAAGGCAGCTGGGACCATAGTCACCAAGAAAACAATTGGTAACACACTACGCCGTGAAGGACTGAAATTCTGCAGCGCCCGCAAGGTTCCCCTGCTCAAGACAGCACATATACAGGCCCGTCTGAAGTTTGCCAATGAACATCTGAATGATTCAGAGGAGAACTGGGTGAAAGTGTTGTGGTCAGATGAGACCAAAATCGAGCTCCTCGGCATCAACTCAACTCGCTGTGTTTGGAGGAGGAGGAATGCTGCCTATGACCCCAAGAATACCATCCCCACCGTCAAACATGGAGGTGGAAACATTATGCTTTGGGGGTGTTTTTCTGCTAAGGGGACAGGACAACTTCACCGCATCAAAGGGACGATGGACGGGGCCATGTACCGTCAAATCTTGGGTGAGAACCTCCTTCCTTCAGCCAGGGCATTGAAAATGGGTCGTGGATGGGTATTCCAGCATGACAATGACCCAAAACACACGGCCAAGGCAACAAAGGAGTGGCTCAAGAAGAAGCACATTAAGGTCCTAGAGTGGCCTAGCCAGTCTCCAGACCTTAATCCCATAGAAAATCTGTGGAGGGAGCTGAAGGTTCGAGTTGCCAAACGTCAGCCTCGAAACCTTAATGACTTGGAGAAGATCTGCAAAGAGGAGTGGGACAAAATCCCTCCTGAGATGTGTGCAAACCTGGTGGCCAACTACAAGAAATGTCTGACCTCTGTGATTGCCAACAAGGGTATTGCCACCAAGTACTAAGTCATGTTTTGCAGAGGGGTCAAATACTTATTTCCCTCATTAAAATGCAAATCAATTGATAACATTTTTGACATGCGTTTTTCTGGATTTTGTTGTTGTTATTCTGTCTCTCACTGTTCAAATAAACCTACCATTAAAATTATAGACTGATCATGTCTTTGTCAGTGGGCAAACGTACAAAATCAGCAGGGGATCAAATACTTTTTTCCCTCACTGTACATGATGCTAATCAGAATGACAACCAGGTCTGTCAGACTGACTGGATCTGTAAAACAGAAAAATTACAAATTGATCAGACAGTTAGGTTGGCAACCTAGAATAATATATTGCAGCTGTTCCTCAAGGATGGGGTCTACGTAACTTCTGTGAAATAACTGTAGAATTATCTAAAACGATAAGACAACTGTTTTAAAAAACATCTAACAAAAAGTATTTATGTCTGCTCATACCTTTGCGTTTCCCCACTTTGATGGGAAAGAGCTTTCTCCCATTAGTGTACATGAGAAGCCTTCCAAGCACACATAATGAGTGAACAAAATAAGTGTATTCTAGCTTTTTGGCAGTGTAGAGTCCTTTTAGCAATGCCTGGACAGAAACAAGATTATAATTCAACAGTGGGAACAGAATAGATATAATATATATAGAATATAAAATAGAATAGAATCCCTCCGATGTCAACAACTACAGACCAGTATCCCTTCTTTCTTTTCTCTCCAAAACTCTTGAGCGTGCCGTCTCTAGCCAACTCTCCTGCTATCTCTCTCGGAATGACCTTCTTGATCCAAACCAGTCAGGTTTCAAGACTGGTCATTCAACTGAGACTGCTCTTTTCTGTGTCACGGAGGCTCTCCACACTGCTAAAGCTAACTCTCTCTCCTCTGCTCTTATCCTTCTAGACCTATCCGCTGCCTTTGATACTCTGAACCATCAGATCCTCCTCTCCACCCTCTCCGAGTTGGGCATCTCCGGCGCTGCTCACTCTTGGATTGCGTCCTACCTGACAGGTCGCTCCTACCAGGTGGCGTGGCGAGAATCTGTCTCCGTACCACGTACTCTCACCACTGGTGTCCCCCAGGGCTAAGCTATTCTCTCTATACACCAAGTCACTTGGCTCTGTCATATCCTCACATGGTCTCTCCTATCATTGCTACGCAGACGACACACAATTAATTTTCTCCTTTCCCCCTTCTGATAACCAGGTGGCGAATCGCATCTCTGCATGTCTGGCAGACATATCAGTGTGGATGTCGGATCACCACCTCAAGCTGAACCTTGGCAAGACGGAGCTGCTCTTCCTCCCGGGGAAGGACTGCCCGCTCCATGATCTCGCCATCACGGTTGACAACTCCATTGTGTCCTCCTCCCAGAGTGCAAAAAACCTTGGCGTGACCCTGGACAACACCCTGTCGTTCTCTGCTAACATCAAAGCGGTGACCCGATCCTGCAGGTTCATGCTCTACAACATTCGCAGAGTACGACCCTACCTTACACAGGTCCTAATCCAGGCACTTGTCATCTCCCATCTGGATTACTGCAACTCGCTGTTGGCTGGGCTCCCTGCCTGTGCCATTAAACCCCTACAACTCATCCAGAACGTTGCAGCCCGTCTGGTGTTCAACCTTCCCAAGTTCTCTCATGTCACCCCACTCCTCCACACACTCCACTGGCTTCCAGTTGAGGCTCACATCTACTACAAGACCATGGTGCTTGCCTACAGAGCTGTGAGGGGAACGGCACCTCCTTACCTTCAGGCTCTGATCAGACCCTACACCCAAACGAGGGCACTACCTTCATCCACCTCTGGCCTGCTAGCTCCCCTACATCTACGGAAGCACAGTTCCCGCTCAGCCCAGTCAAAGCTATTCGCTGCTCTGGCAACCCAATGGTGGAACAAGCTCCCCCACGACGCCAGGACTGCGGAGTCACTGACCACCTTCCGGAGACACTTGAAACCCTACCTCTTTCAGGAATACCTGGAATAGTATAAAGTAATTATTCTTCCCCCATCCCCCATTAAAAAAAAATAGGTGGTTGTCCCACTGGCTATCATAAGTTGAATGCACCAATTTGTAAGTCGCTCTGGATAAGAGCGTCTGCTAAATGATGTAAATATAAATGTAATAGATCAAATGCTGTCTAAACCCATTTAACATCTGATCAGGTGAAACTCCCAATAACATAATGTGTAACAAATAGCATGCTGATGTAATTTCATATGAAACCAAATACAATTTCTTCACAAACCTATCTTTTAGCATATGCTGAAACAATTAAAACATACTACGGGCAGTGCTGACACTACATGATCACACAAGGGACAAAAAAGCCTTTGTGTAAACACTGACAATGGGGTCAGTTTATCTGTGCTCATCCAATGCAAGGTCAAGAATGCAGCCTCACTCTATGCCAGATAACACTAGGCACTTTCCGGAGAAATACTCCCTCTTCTCTGACGATAACACAGCTATCTGGGCTCAGGAGACAGGCAGGGAGGACATAACACCTCTGTTTTATGGAGAACTATACAGCATAGAGAGGCATTAGTCATCTCTTTTTCACTAGGCCTTCCATATCATACATGAGGCTGTGGACATATCAATTGTACTGTATTCAGGAGAAACAATGTATGGAGAAAAATAGTGGGCCCTTCTGAAGTCTCAATGGATTTAGCTTGGGAGAGAATAGAGAGAAGCTAGTCTGAATTAGAATACAGGTGTGGGATAAGTAATATGTTCCGTCCTAACCAAATGAAGAAACACCTAAGGGATTCTTCAATAATTTCTGCATTTCCATAACCCTAAGTCTCCTTTACTTAATTACCCCCTAGAATGATATAGCCTACCACAAGTTATTTAGCACAATCATAGTGAGCTCTAGTCCACACATAAACCATTTATTTTATTATGGACCAAATGATGTATACATATTGCATGGTCATAGACAATCTGGGTTTATCAAGACTTTTCAAGAGCCCTCTACTACCTGAGCTTGACCAGTCAGTGATTCCCTCCATCCCCACCAACACTATGCAGCTCCTCCCAAAACTATACAGTATACACAGTGGTCATCTCTATCAGTGCATGGGAGCACTCCTCGACCCTGGCGATAGATAGTAGCAGAGCCATTGGGCCTGGAGAGGAGGACAGACTAAGACCACAGACGGAGGAAAACAAACCAGCGGCTGCCTGATAACTCCTGATACGGTCCGCCTCAACAAGACTTGACTTATTCAACATCTAAACCCCCTCCACTACAGTGGGATAAAGAGGTGTGTGAACCAGGTGAATAGGGAGAGGTGGAGGCAAGATGTGAGGGCTGGCCTCTGGCGCCTGCATCGAGTTGTCAAGGGTTATAGAACAGGTGAAAAGCCACAGAAAAAGCTACTATCTCCTGATTAAAATGTCATGGGTAGTAAATATACATGTTCACCTCCAACAACTAGATACAAAATAGGCCTACATGTCAATTGTTGGTGTTGTGCTACAGTAGATCTTGGTTATAATATAATTGAAATAGAATGGAGAAATACCCGTGTAGATTAAAGTTCAATTTACTGATGTGCTGGTTCTGGATAGAGTGGGTGACCTCAGCCGTCTCATCTATGAATGGGTCACAGGACTCAATAGATACACTACTGATGAACTGCTACAATCTGGGATATAACAGCACTCATTACAATCATCAAAGGGACGTTTTAAACACTGAAGAAAATACAACTGAAGACCAGGAAATAATTAAAAATAATTAGTTTTAAGTTAATATATTTTCCAGAACTCTACCTCAGAATATAACTATGAATAGCAAATGTAATGTCTTCATCATCCATCAATGTCATACTGTAAGGCAAGCATTACATGTATGGCAAGTTTTTAATAGCTATAAAGGCAATTAAGAATTTAATCTTAATGAAACTGGGAACTCATTTCTAATCACGAAGGAGGACAATCAGAGACAGACCCTTGATATTCCTGTAGTGGTCAATCATCAGCTCATCGTCTATCTCTCACCACCCTCATTTCCAGTCCACTCTCACTGCCACAGAACAGAACCATTAAGATTAGTCGTCACTCACTCACCAGAGACTTGTACTTCCTCTCCAGAAGCCTGTAGACCACGGTCCTGCTGTAGTAACCATGCTGGAAGAGACAGGACTGACATCATCTTCACTCAGCACTGACAATTGGTTAGACTACTTATGGGGGGGACCGGTTTCTTGTAGTGTTTAGAGAAGCAAGGTTAATATTGTGCTCACCATCCATTTCTTAAACCAGGTGGCTTTGATATCCAGTAAGGCAATGAAGTACAAGGCTTTCTCTGACCCTTGTGTGCCTAAGCCGTGTTCAGGGTGTAAGGACCCTCTATTATCTCCTCCATGTACCTAGTGAGACAAAGTTACATTTTAGACTAAACTATTACTTTGCAAGTGCTGATCACTGAATATACCGTAAAACAGAACATCTCACTTTTCTGGGTGGCTAATCCAAAAGGTTATCACTTCCTTCTGAAAATCATTCATTAGTCACATCTGGTGGGAAAATAAATGTAAATAAAAACTGTATCATATTCATATGGGTATAACTGCCATGCAAGTATCACATTAAAGAGGGTGCATAATGGTTTTAGAAGATGTCCGGTCTGTTTACAGTGAGGGAAAAAAGTATTTGATCCCCTGCTGATTTTGTACGTTTGTCCACTGACAAAGAAATGATCAGTCTATAATTTTAATGGTAGGTTTATTTGAACAGTGAGAGACAGAATAACAACAAAAAAATCCAGAAAAACGCATGTCAAAAATGTTATCAATTGATTTGCATTTTAATGAGGGAAATAAGTATTTGACCCCCTCTCAATCAGAAAGATTTCTGGCTCCCAGGTGTCTTTTATACAGGTAACGAGCTGAGATTAGGAGCACACTCTTAAAGGGAGTGCTCCTAATCTCAGTTTGTTACCTGTATAAAAGACACCTGTCCACAGAAGCAATCAATCAATCAGATTCCAAACTCTCCACCATGGCCAAGACCAAAGAGCTCTCCAAGGATGTTAGGGACAAGATTGTAGACCTACACAAGGCTGGAATGGGCTACAAGACCATTGCCAAGCAGCTTGGTGAGAAGGATGACAACAGTTGGTGCGATTATTCGCAAATGGAAGAAACACAAAAGAACTGTCAATCTCCCTCGGCCTGGGGCTCCATGCAAGATCTCACCTCATGGTGTTGCAATAATCATGAGAACGGTGAGGAAAGCCCAGAACTACATGGGAGGATCTTGTCAATGATCTCAAGGCAGCTGGGACCATAGTCACCAAGAAAACAATTGGTAACACACTACGCCGTGAAGGACTGAAATCCTGCAGTGCCCGCAAGGTCCCCCTGCTCAAGAAAGCACATATACAGGCCCGTCTGAAGTTTGCCAATGAACATCTGAATGATTCAGAGGAGAACTGGGTGAAAGTGTTGTGGTCAGATGAGACCAAAATCGAGCTCTTTGGCATCAATTCAACTCGCCATGTTTGGAGGAGGAGGAATGCTGCCTATGACCCCAAGAACACCATCTCCACCGTCAAACATGGAGGTGGAAACATTATGCTTTGGGGGTGTTTTTCTGCTAAGGGGACAGGACAACTTCACCGCATCAAAGGGACGATGGACGGGGCCATGTACCGTCAAATCTTGGGTGAGAACCTCCTTCCCTCAGCCAGGGCATTGAAAATGGGTCGTGGATGGGCATTCCAGCATGACAATGACCCAAAACACACGGCCAATGCAACAAAGGAGTGGCTCAAGAAGAAGCACATTAAGGTCCTGGAGTGGAAAATCTGTGGAGGTAGCTGAAGGTTCGAGTTGCCAAACGTCAGCCTCGAAACCTTAATGACTTGGAGAAGATCTGCAAAGAGGAGTGGGACAAAATCCCTCCTGAGATGTGTGCAAACCTGGTGGCCAACTACAAGAAACGTCTGACCTCTGTGATTGCCAACAAGGGTTTTGCCACCAAGTACTAAGTCATGTTTTGCAGAGGGGTCAAATACTTATTTCCCTCATTAAAATGCAAATCAATTGATAACATTTTTGACATGCATTTTTCTGGATTTTTTTTGTTGCTATTCTGTCTCTCACTGTTCAAATAAACCTACCATTCAAATTATAGACTGATCATGTCTTTGTCAGTGGGCAAACGTACAAAATCAGCAGGGGATCAAATACTTTTTTCCCTCACTGTACATCAATCCCAGCTGATCCAGTTGGGAGGCTCAGTTTTTGGTACAGGAAGTCAGACTCATTTTCCACATCAGACTTTGAATAGAAAAAGAAACAAGACATTTCATAAACATATAGGGGAAAACTAATGAATTACCTAAACTGGTGTCGATCTCTCTTGTTAAATTCAGTGGAGAAGAGGAGAATGTTTTTGCAAAAAAGCACAGGACCTTATCCTGAATAGAGGATAAACAAAACTATAGGACTCATGCAGGTGTGAATTTTTGCAATTTCACTGTGTGACAAATGTTCATCAGACCAATAAAAAACTAAAGTTGTTTACAAAACAGAGTACACAAAATCCCTAGGGGGTGAATTCCCATATTAGAGTATCCTATTCTATTTAGCCATTTACAGTCCTAGCCCTGTCTAAGCTGGGGGAGGGGGTTCTACTAAGGTATATGGAATTGTTTTAACCCTCCCGTTGTCCTAGGGTCAAAATGACCCGCCACTGTGTTGAACCAACTTTATTTAATTTTTATATTTTGGGGATCATTTGTGAGAAGGAGGCAGTGAGACTTTTCAGACCCCTTATAAAAAAAGTACATTTTTATTCGGCCTTACTGCTATTTTCCCATTCAAACACATTGAATAACAGATTCACTACATAGAACAACAGATAATCCCAAAAATAAAATAAAAAAGGATGTTTGTTCTGAAGTGTCTGTCCTATATATGAGAGATATAAGAAAGATCAGGAAACATTTGTTATATATATATATTTTACATGTATTTAAACTGTTATTTTTGGCACTAAACAGTCTCCATACATACTTCCCTTATTTTTTTCAACTGGTACAAGGGGACCTTCAGACAAGGACAGATTTCCAGACTGTTGGAAAAGCATTCCAGGCAAAGCTGGTTGAGAGAATGCCAAGAGTGTGCAAAGCTGTCATCAAGGCAAAGGGTGGCTACTTTGAAGAATCTCAAATATACCATTTATTTTTAACACTTTTTTGGTTACTACATGATTCCATATGTGTTATTTTATAGTTTTGATGTCTTCACTATTATTCTACAATGTAGAAAATAGTAAAAAAAATTAAGAAAAACCCTTGAATGAGTAGGTGTGTCCAAACTTTTGACTGGTACTGTATGTGTTCGTGAGAGTCTCACCTTTCCATATTATTGTGTAAACCAAACTGTTCGGACGCTACAGACGATTTTGTGGAGGATAAGATCGCAGGCTTTGGCGCAGGCATTTACATTATTGTTACCTGATAAAATTTCACACAAAGTAAATGAGACAGGTAAATACAATGCAAGATCTAGTCTACACTACTGCTTCAAGATTGTATTCATTGTGAAGCACACAAGCACATAGGCTTTAGACTCCCTGTAAGCAATGGCATACTCTGAAGTAAGTGACGAGCCATGTTAGTCATATCGTAAAGGATAAAGTTAATCAAAAGTCACTAGTGACAAGTCTTCACTGGGAATGCTTTATAGAGAGACACCATACATACTCTCCAGATTCTCTAGTCCTCCTTGTAACAGCATGAACCAAGGTGTTCTGACCGGACAGAACAGCATGCCCCTCTCCTCTGGCACAGCTCTCTGTCTCCTCCTCAATAACTGCTCCCAGAGCGCTTTCCACATACTGCCGAAGGTACTTAACAAATTCATATCTGAAAAAGAGACGGATATTAAACAAGCGTTTGATAATAATGGATATCAATTACTACAGATTTGATTGTAGCAAATGAGAAGGTATTTCATTTCTGCATAATTATGCAAGTTCTTGTCCGTCTCCTCCAGATGAATAAATATTTCCTCTGCACATTCAATGGATGGTGTACCTGAGATTCTGTCTTAGTTCAGCCTCATCCTCAGTTGAGAACTGAGACATGGTCCTGATGTGGAATCACTCTTCTCTGCAGAAATATATACAGAATTGACATTATCCAGTGGCAACTCAGTTAGCTAGCTAGCTACCGTGCTACTTTAATGTATTTACTATAGTTAGCTAGACAAGCGATGTCATTGTATTAAAACCTGGGCATGCATTGTCTTGCTATGTACTGTAGCTAGTTGACATTGTGTTTGTTGACATCTCTTTGAAATTAGTGCTAGCTAGCTAACGACGGTAGCTAACGTTAGCTTGCTAGCAACGAAGGAAAGGAGATAAAGTCCTTTGCATGACAGAACTTGGCTAAACATTTCCGCAAAACCAAAAAATATCACATTGTAATAAACAGTGTAAGACTTCCACATGGTACTGCTATTTCGTCAATATACAGTACCAGTCAAAAGTTTGGACACACCTACTCATTCAAGGGTTGTTCTTTATTTTTACTATTTTCTACATTGTAGAATAATAGTGAAGACATCAAAACTATGAAATAACACATATGGAATCATGTAGTAAACAAAAAAGTGTTAAACAAATCAAAACATATTTTAGATTCTTCAAAGTAGCCACCCTTTGCCTTGATGACAGCTTTGCACACTCTTGGCATTCTCACAACCAGCGTCACCTGGAATGCTTTTCCAACAGTTTTCAAGGAGTTCCCACATATGCTGAGCACTTGTTGGCTGCTTTTCCTTCACTCTGCGGTCCAACTCATCCCAAACCATCTCAATTGGGTTGAGGTCGGGTGATTGTGGAGGCCAGGTCATCTGATGCAGCACTCCATCACTCTCCTTCTTGGTCAAATAGCCCTTACACAGCCTGGAGGTGTGTTGGTGTTGAAAACAAATGATAGTCCCACTAAGCGCAAACCAGATGGGATGGCGTATCTCTGCAGAATGTTGTGGTAGCCATGCTGGTTAAGTGTGCCTTGAATTCTCAATAAATCACTGACAGTGTCACCAGCAAAGCACCCCCACACCATCACACCTCCTCCTCCATGCTTCACGGTGGGAACCACACATGCGGAGATCATCTGTTCATCTACTCTGTGTCTCACAAAGACACACGGTTGGAACCAAAAATCTCCAATTTGGACTCATCAGACCAAAGGACAGATTTCAACCGGTCTAATGTCCATTGCTCGTGTTTCTTGGCCCAATCAAGTCTCTTCTTCTTATTGGTGTCCTTTAGTATTGGTTTCTTTGCAGCAATTCGACCATGAATGCCTGATTCACGCAGTCTCCTCTGAACAGTTGATATTGAGATGTGTCTGTTACTTGAACTCCTTGAAGCACTTATTTGGGCTGCAATCTGAGGTGCAGTTATTTTATTTTATTTTTATTTCATCTTTTTTAACCAGGTAAGCCAGTTGAGAACAAGTTCTCATTTACAACTGCGACCTGGCCAAGATAAAGCAAAGCAGTGTGATAAAAACAACAACACAGAGTTACATATGGGGTAAAAAAAACATAAGGTCATAAAATACAACAGAAAATATATATACAGTGTGTGCAAATGTAGCAAGTTATGGAGGTAAGGCAATAAATAGGCTATAGTGCAAAATAATTACAATTAGTATTAACACTGGAATGCTAGATGTGCAAGAGATTATGTGCAAATAGAGATACTGGGGTGCAAAAGAGCAAAATAAATAATAATATAGGGATGAGGTAGTTGGGTGGGCTAATTTCAGATGGGCTGTGTACATGTGCAGTGATCGGTAAGGTGCTCTGACAACTGATGCTTAAAGTTAGTGAGGTAGATAAGAGTCTCCAGCTTCAGAGTGCCAGCAGCGTTCGATTGAAGAGCATGCATTTAGTTTTACTAGTGTTTAAGAGCAGTTGGAGGCTACTGAAGGAGTGTTGTATGGCATTAACTCTAATGAACTTATCCTCTGCAGCAGAGGTAACTCTGGGTCTTCCTTTCCTGTGGCGGTCCTCATGAGAGCCAGTTTCATCATAGCACTTGATAGTTTTTGCGACTGCACAAAGTTCTTGAAATTTTCCGGATTGACTGACCTTCATGTCTTAAAGTAATGATGGACTGTCGTTTCTCTTTGCTTATTTGAGCTGTTTTTTTTTCCATAATATGGACTTGGTCTTTTACCAAATAGGGCTATCTTCTGTATACCACCCCTACCTTGTCACAACACAACTGATTGGCTCAAACGCATTAAGGAAAGAAATTCCACAAATTAACTTTTAACAAGGCACACCTATTCCTTGAAGTGCATTCCAGGTGACTACTTCAAGAAGCTGGTTGAGAGAATGCGAACGAGAACGAATTGCAAAAATCTCTGAAGCTGGAGACTCTTATCTCCCTCAATAACTTTAAGCATCAGTTGTCATAGCACCTTACCGATCACTGCACCTGTACACAGCCCATCTGAAATTAGCCCACCCAACTACCTCATCCCTATATTGTTATTTATTTTGCTCTTTTGCACCCCAGTATCTCTATTTGCACATAATCTCTTGCACATCTAGCATTCCAGTGTTAATACTATTGTAATTATTCTGCACTATAGCCTATTTATTGCCTTACCTCCATAACTTGCTACATTTGCACACACTGTATATATATTTTCTGTTGTATTTCTGACTTTATGTTTTTTTACCCCATATGTAACTCTGTGTTGTTTTTATTGCACTACTTTGCTTTATCTTGGCCAGGTCGCAGTTGTAAATGAGAACCTGTTCTCAACTGGCTTACCTGGTTAAATAAAGGTGAAATAAAAATAAAATAAAAAAAATGCCTAGAGTGTGGAAAGCTGTCATCAAGGCAAAGGGTGGCTACTTTGAAGAATCTAAAATCTAAAATATATTTTGATTTGTTTAACACTTTTTTGGTTACTACATGATTCCATATGTGTTATGTCATAGTTTTGATGTCTTCACTATTATTCTACAATGTAGAAAATAGTAAAAGTAAAGAAAAACCCTTGAATGAGTAGGTGTGTCCAAACTTTTGACTGGTACTGTAGTTGTGCAGTATCGTTAGCGACAATTTCCAACCTGCTGCAGCTTGGGTCGACCACTGTCTCTATGGAAACAAGTAGCTCACGTTTGTGCATTGAGGGATATTCAAAGCAGTTGGTCACAGACAGAGATCATGCTGAAATAAGGCAAAAACAGTACTTTGGAAAAGGGGTGCAAACGAACACCATATGTATAATGTTAACATTAACAGTTATGATATACAATAAATTCCTGCTACTCCTGTTATTTTAAACCAAAGTTTTTAGGCGATATGCTTTTTACTGTGGCTTTAAATCATTGTCCGTTAGATGTCACGTGGTCCCCCATGTTTACAATCTCTTCCCTTCTGTCATAAGCCAAATCAAAGACAGAACAGCATTAAAACAGGCTAAAACTGCTTCTCTAATCGAAATCCCCTATATCATACCTGTAGGCGAGGTCATGGCGGCATTGGCTAGCTAAGCTCATGCGTCATCGGGTCCAACGGTCATCTCGCACCGAACTGCGAATGTGCAAGCCGTCAACTCAAAGGCTCTCCTTCGATATAAAGTTGTTTTTGACGAAAATGACAACGTATCTGTTTGTCACTTTCATGAGGTTGTTGTAATAACATGTTAAACTACTTAAGACATTGTCTCGAATCTTAGATTTCGAGGAAATGAACAACTATGGAATAATTTTGGACAGAAGAGGAAGCAAGACACAACACTCGCTGTTTTTTTGTGGTTCAATGAAAGTCAATGAACTAAGTACACTAGACCCAGCTGCTATTGCATTGGTGTCTATGGGAGAGCCACCCCGTTAAGCAGACCGGAACTGACCATTTTTAAATGGTAAACGACCATCTTTGGCCAAGGAACCTCAATATTGCGCATGTCAGAACTGCTGTGTAGCTAGATTACGAAATACTATGCACAATTTAATGTAACTTTAAGCGTTAAGTATCAAGTAAAGTATATAATCGGAAAACCGTTAACGTTAGCTAGCTTATTGAAGTATCCAAGTAGTACAGATTGGCTAGGATTAGGAAACATTGTTTGGAGTTTGCTTTAGTTTAGCTAAATACCAACCTGTGGCTGATGTTGACAGTTTTGAGCTTTTGCAAAGCACGTGCCTTGGCCACGGTTTTGGTGAATGGGGTGTCATTTATGGAAAGGTACAAATGCAATCATAGCCACGGGTAGTAGGCGTGCTGCAGAACCCCCTGAAAAATCGGAATAAAATAAATAAATAAATATATAAATATATATATATATATATATATATATATATATATATATATATATATGTATATGTATATATACAGTGTATATATATTTTTAAACATTCTCATGATCCTGATAAGCCATTCTAATCATCCTGATGACACATCCAAGGCCATCTCTGAGACTCCTGGAGTGGATACAATGGTGCTTGTGGCAGACTTCAGTCAGGGCGATGCAGCTTGCAAGCCTGTCAAAGATGCCTTGAGGGACAAAGATATAGGCTTTCTGGTTAACTGCGTGGATGACTGCCTTGGCAACTCACTAAACTTTACTGGCCTGCCTGAAGACCAGTTGTGGGGCGTACTCAACACACATTGCTGCCACCACACTGATGACGGGCGTGGTTCTACTTGGCATGGTAGAGAGGAGACGTGGAGCAGTGGTGAACATCTGCACCATGAATATGGTCATCAGGGAATCTTTGTGCAGTCTGGTACCTTTCGAAGTGGCGCCCCATGGACTATGGACTATCAGCAGGTAGCTGTCTAGTACCACAGTCAGATGTGTATGCCTGTTACAGGCTATTGGCCCCATACACTGCAGGTACACAGATCAGTGCTGATTAAAATGGGGTTTGGAAGGGTTGAGGATATAGACATTTAGTAGTCTATAGTCCATGTTAAACAATAGGCTAACCATGACTCTTGTTTGTGTTATCTTTTCCAGTTTGGACTTGTGCAGTCAATGCCAGAATGGATTTGGGTATTGGGGTCAGGTATGCTCACAAGCTCATGCTGAAAGGTCTCCTTCATACAGAAAACTGAACTACAGTCACTGAATGACTCATGACAACAAAGTTATGCCTAGCTAATACAGGCATCATAAAGATGATATTACACTAGTGAGTGAATGAGTGTGTGTAATAATTGTATCTTGAACGCCATAAAAATCTATATTAATTCAGAGAATGTAATACTAAAGAATCTCCAGGAGTGTAGCTCCCAAATTATGCTGATGACGTCTGTGAAATGCACAGATATGTGAGGTGAAGGAGATCTTTTTTGTAGTGATTTGAGATGTTTATTTGAGGAACTGTGGTCTTTGAGGTGTTTAACGGGCATTCCTATGTAAAGACAGTTGTTTTGACAACAACTTACAGTATACTTGAGAATTTATTTTGAAATGGGTTCTTTTTTATTTATGATTGTAGGAAGAAATTGTGTGCTTGTGAATGACTTTCCATCTAGTTTATGCTTGGTGAATATGCATATGTTATGCATAGCACAATACAAAAAGAAAATGAGGCCAGACATTGATTGTAATCTTCACAAGGACATGTGAAGCAAAGTCTGCTGTTAAAAACAATACAATTGATGGAACGATTAGAAAGTAACTATGGACAAAGACATTACAACATGTCTAGTCATTAGACACATAAAATGCATATTGTGTATGAAAATCAATACTTGATCTATAGACAATTAAATCTTGTTGCAGGTTGTCAGTGTCTCTGACTTTTAAATAATTTGTCAATCTTAATTTCTTGAATATTGACATACCTTGCCTCTATGTTTGGTATAGCCATACACTAGATATCATAGGAACCTAAATTATCACTTTAAGGTTTCACCTTGGTCCATAACACTACCACAGTTCATTGAATGGTGTCATGCCTAAAAGGTGGGATATGTAGTCTTTGTTGTGGTTGGGATGGTGCCTCCTCCATAAGAAGGGAAGGTTGAGAAGATTCTCGTCTTTACCCTGACATCACCCTCCTGAGAGACTGAGCTTGGACCTTTCTTCAGGCTTGTCCCTTGGTAAGTTGAAAAGCAAACAATTAACTTATGATAATTACATGATCAAATACCAGATTTGTGAAAATTGCATTCATGACATTAGAAAGTGAGATGTAATGGTTCATTGCCTCTGGGTAGTCCCCTGTAGCTCAGTTGGTAGTGCATGGCGCTTGCAATGCCAGGGTTGTGGGTTCGTTTCCGCACTGGGGGCCAGTATGAAAAATGTATGCACTCACTAACTGTAAGTCACTCTGGATAAGAGCGTCTGCTAAATGACTAAAATGTAAAAAAATGTTAGTTGTTGGTATTAGACAATCATAATGCATAGACAGTGAGGTTAATCAATTGAGCTTTACATTAGAGATATTTCACCTGCTTTGTAAGGATGGATGGGATTGCTGACCTTGACAAAAAGTAATGGCACATAATTATAACATTATGTGAACATACTAGTTTACCAATAGACTGCGGACAGCCTTGATGAAAAGTAGACTACTATCTGTAGTGGGAGGTTTTTCCTCAAAAACTTTGATAGGCAAAGATTGAATTTTGAGTATGCATTCAATAAATGTCCCCAAATTAAATAGTGGCACAGCAAACTGACTGTAATGAAAAGGCAGGAATATAATCTTAATGTCTTCTTGTGCCTTCTGAATAAAACAATCAATGTTTAGGGATTGAACAAGGTCAGGTCCTTGGTTCCCACCAGATTGGAAAGGTCTGTTATTGGAATGGCTCATGATATCTGGGCCTCATGGGCCTTCACGTATCAATGTACTCACTGGTCCAAATGAACAGATAAAGAGGGTCCTTGAGTGGGCGCTCATTGGTACATTTCAATTAGTACATATTAATTAATGCTGTTATGAGATCTATTCATTCTCTAAAACTTTGCTTAAATTTTTTTAAATATCTTCTACAGTTCTTGTCATAACTGATAATCCCCCAGGTGATGAATATATCTATTATTTTTTCACAGCAAACTGTCCAACTGGACAGTCGAAATGGGTGAATGGGACTTGCTGGGCCGGCTGCTGGACAAAGTGCAGTCCCACTCCACAGTCATAGGGAAGATCTGGCTGACTGTCCTGTTTGTGTTCAGGATCCTGGTCCTCGGGGCCGGGGCCGAGAAGGTGTGGGGGGACGAGCAGTCAGACTTTGTCTGTAACACAGAACAGCCCGGATGTGAGAACGTCTGTTATGACCACGCCTTCCCCATCTCACACGTCCGCTTCTGGGTCCTTCAGATCCTCTCTGTCTCCATCCCAACCCTGGTGTACCTGGGCCATGTCCTCCACGTCATCCACGTAGAGAAGAAGGTCAGGGAGAAGATGAATAAGCAAGTACAGGATGAGCAGGCCAATAACTTCCTGAAGAAGGGCTACAAAGTCCCCAAGTACAGCAACGTCAATGGGAAGATTAACCTGCATGGCCGTCTGTTACGCAGTTACGTAGTGCACCTACTGGTGAAGATCCTGTTGGAGGTGGGGTTCATTGTTTGTCAATACTACCTGTATGGATTCACCCTCCAGGCTCGCTTTGTCTGCAGCCGTTTCCCCTGCCCTCACCAGGTGGACTGCTTCCTGTCTAGACCCACGGAGAAGACCGTCTTCATCTGGTTCATGCTGGTAGTAGCCTGTGTGTCTCTGCTCCTCAACCTCATCGAGCTCTTCTACCTGTTTGTCAAATCAGTCAAAGAGTGTGTGGACAGGAAGCAGGACTACACGGTGACCCCGGTCACCCCTGTCCTTGAGAGAAAGGCCATTGAGAACAGGGACCAGATGATCCAGAACTGGGTCAATCTGGAGTTGGAGCTCCAGGGGAGGAAGCTGGGCAGTGCAGTGACGAAAAGTGTGGCTTCTGAGGACAACACTGCTAATATGGGGGAGGTCCATATTTGATCTGCCAGCTTCTGTACACATTCCTTTTCACACAATCTGCGTGTATGTGGACCCAATGAGTCTTGTGCCAGGCTAAAACCATATGTATAAAATGACCTTACTTGTGTGCCTAAATTGTTGATTTCTCCAAAATATTAACTGCATTCAATAAAAGTTTTCATCGAATAGAGGATCAGTCTTTGAGCTTGTGCCACAGATAACAAATATAAATAATTTCAATCTGTATATTTTTGGGGGATTTGTATTATTGGTTGTGCCATTGCTTGTATGAGTTGATGTAATGTAATTCCTATAGCACCATAATCTTGATATAGCATCATAATCTTGATATAAGGAATTTATTCTGGCTGGTATCATTGTGTTTGGTTTGATTCCTCTTTTGTTATTATAAATGAGTCTCAGAATGTGTCTGCCTCCATGATATCTATTTCATGAACAACTCTGAGCTCTGTGTTATTCATTCAATGCAATATAAAAGCATTAATTTAGATGTGTTCCTGTTTAATCTTTAGTCTGTATCTATTTGTCAATCATTACGCGGGACCTTCCAGTCAGTCCCAAGGGTTAACTTTTAAAATCCCATTTGCCGATGATGACTGGGACTGTGAACATGCTGATGGGTTACTCAATCCTTACCACCAGCCCTAAAATCTCAAGGTTCAACTTATGTTAACATCAGTTGGCCGCAGTCTCCATAGGGTCAGGACAAGGTAAGAGGCAACATTTCTCTTCTCACTTCTCTTCACAATTTTATTTTTAAATGTAATGAAAAATGAACAGAACAGCAGTTCATTTTGTAATAGTTTTTGATATAAGGATTCCACTGCAAATATTGTCTTTGGAGTTTACCGATTACCAGGCAATAACATAAAATGTTTAAATATAATTGATAGCAAAGTTATACATAATTTTTTTCCCAGAATCATTACGTTTACATTTAAAACTATATATTTAGTATCATATAGACTGTCAATCAGTGGTTTCTCTACATTTGACCAACTGCTTACATTTGATTTATTTTTGGTTTTAATAATTTTTGGATACACACGGGTTACATGATAATGTTTTGTAACAATAATTTTCTTATTAAAGGTAAATTAAAGGCATTGAGGGATATCAGTTTCAGGCACTTGGCTTGAGGCTATAGTGTGCGTTTCCCAATAGTCCGATTAATGATTAAGGCTGAAAACTGAGTGAAAAACATTGAAAACCTGACTCATGGATAAGATGGCCGTTGTGTACCCAGCCCTTCGTTCCCATTTGGCCCTCAGATTCATAGACACTAACTTGTTTCATGTCTTCTTCTTTACTCTAGAAAGCCATTGAACATCAGCAAACATGGGAGACTGGGGTTTTCTTTCCAAGTTACTGGACAAGGTGCAGTCTCACTCAACAGTCATCGGAAAGATATGGATGAGTGTCCTGTTCCTGTTCAGAATCATGGTCTTGGGTGCCGGAGCGGAGAACGTTTGGGGCGATGAACAATCTGGTTTCATATGCAATACGCAACAACCTGGTTGTGAGAATGTGTGCTACGACCATATCTTCCCCATCTCACACATCCGCTTCTGGGTCATGCAGATCATCTTCGTCTCCACTCCAACTCTTCTATACCTGGGCCATGCCATGCATGTCATCAGCCAGGAGAACAAACTGAGAGCCATACTGCAGAGCCAAGTTGACAATGGCACGTTGAAGAAGCCCAAATACAGCAATGAAGCAGGGAAGATCAAAATTAAGGGGAATTTGCTGGGTAGTTACATGACCCAGCTGTTCTTTAAGATCATAATAGAGATCGCTTTCATCGTGGGCCAGTACTACCTGTATGGGTTTGTCATGGTCCCCATGTTCCCCTGCTCCAGATCTCCCTGCCCCTTCACTGTCGAATGCTACATGTCCCGTCCTACAGAGAAGACCATCTTCATCATCTTCATGCTGGTGGTGGCCTGTGCGTCTCTGGCACTGAATGTGATTGAGGTGTTCTATCTGCTTTGTAGAAGATTAAGATGTGGTGGCTCCAAAGGCCGCAATTATCACACTACCTCAACTGCGAACCCAGCCACCCTCCCACCCCCTGCGTGGTCTGGTCGCGTGGATACTGAGATGGACACCCTGAGACAGAACAAGATGAATCTGGAGTTTGAGAGTGGCCAGAGTTTAGGTGGTACTCTGGATGCTAAGGATGAGAAAAAGTTGCTGGGTGACCACCACTAAAACGCTTGAAAGTTAATTTGCCGTTAATGTATCTTAATCTTTTGTATTGTTGAAAATCTGAATGAATACACTACCTGTTTTGTTTTCTTATGTTTATTTGATAATAATAATATAATAATATGCCATTTAGCAGACGCTTTTATCCAAAGCGACTTACAGTCATGCGTGCATACATTTTTTTGTGTGTATGGGTGGTCCCAGGGATCGAACCCACTACCTTAGCGTTACAAGCGCCGTGCTCTACCAGCTGAGCTACAGAGGACCATTGATTTAGGCGCAGTGCACTAGTAGTGTGTTTGAAGTTTCTAAAATGTTCCTTTAGTTTTTGAAACTACCCGCTGGGGTCTTGAATTGAGTTGTAAACTGACAGATGAATGCTGACAGCTAATATATTTTCTATCATATGATACATAAAAGGTGTCAAGATATACAAGTGTATTTAAAAAAAATAATAAACTAAATATAGTGTCAAAATTAATAGTGTTTTCTTTGTATCAATGGTGCCTGAATGAAAATGAGAGACTGAAAACCCATCAATAAAATCACTGAAACCTAACAAAATAACACACATGAGGAAATAGTTGATTATCTTAGGACACCATTTATGGAAATATGGCTATCAAATTAACATCACTGAACATAAGACATCAGATCTCCAAACCCTCAAAATAAAGGAGCTTGTAAAATAAACTCATTTTTTACCAGAACGTTGTCAAACTACCAATCCAGACAAATGTTCTAGGAGTGAGAGTATGCAAATATGGCTATTGAAGTGTCATTTGAAAATAAGGAGCGCCACGTCCTCCAACCCTCACAATGAAGAGGCTTATAGGTATAATATAACAAAAATATCCTTCTTGTTTTGCCAGAACTGGATTAACTACAGTACCAACCCAGGCACATATTCTGAGAAAGTATATTGTAGAAAAAATATCCCCCCAAAAATTTTGATTTAAGATTTCATTACCTCATATTACCTTTTGCCTACCTGGACCACCCACATTTTCTATTATAAATCATTAGCACAGGCCATGGCCTAGATTACAATGCTATTTCATGGTTATTACTGGTTAATTTGAGGTACTGATACATAATTAACTTTATCATTGTGTTGCCAATTATTAACCTTTACAATCACCCCCAGGTACACCCAAATTCTAAACAGCAGATTTCTCAATTCAGGATGTCATGCACAACGTGACACCTCGTACGACAAGCAAATTGTGCAACTTCAAGGTAGACGGTTGTAGGCTACTACGTAGCATTTGATCATTTGTCTCTACAGCTGGTGGCTGTTGTGTTCTGTTCAGAAACGGTCTGTTTAAAGGTAAAGCAACTTATCTTTCTACTTATTTTTTACATTGTCTATAATTATGAATTATTGTATTGTTTTCACCCAACATGAATAGACATAAGAATGAAAATCTAATATCACCAAAACCAAAATGATTTATTGATAAGCTTGAACCATTCTAAGATGGACAACCTAAGTGATTATTATTATCTGAAACAAGTGTAATCGTTTTTATTAGAATATTGATTTTGTGGTATTTGGGACATTTTACTTTGATAGCCTCGTGCTGTCTGTGTCCATTACTTGAAGCAAGTAAATAATTGATGCAGACTAAACACACAGACCACATATACTGGTACACTGACCTCATGAGAGCCCTGTGAGGCTTACAGCATGGAAAAAATATCCCATTCACTCACTTTCCCAATATTTTTGGGCATATCAAAACAATTAATTAATATAATTTGTAATAAAATGTTATCAAATCGAAATAGAATACATACTGTATTTATAAAGAAGTGATACACACTGAGTGTACAAAACATTAGGAATACCTGCTCTTTCCATGATCCCTTATTGATATCACTTGTTAAATCCACTTCAATCAGTGTAGATGAAGGGGAGGAGACAGGTTAATGAAGGATTTTTAAGCCTTGAGACAATTGAGACATGGATTGTGTATGTGTGCCATTCAGAGAGTTAATGGCAAAATAAAATATTTAAGTGTCTTTGAATGGGGTATGGTAGTAGATGCCAGGCACACCAGTTTGAGTGCGTCAAGAACAGCAACGCTGCTGGGATTTTCACACTCAACAGTTTCCCTTGTGTATCAAGAATGGTCCACCACCCAAAGGACATCCAGCCAACTTGACACAACTGTGGGAAGCATTGGAGTCAACATGGGCCAGAATCCCTGTGGAACGCTTTCGACACCTTGTAGAGTCCATGCCCCGACGAATTGAGGCTGTTCTAAGGGAAAATGGGGGTGCAACTCAATATTAGGAAGGTGTTCCTAATGTTTTGTACAGTCAGTGTATTTTGCTACCAAAATACTGAATTCCAATGTTAGATGCTGAAATATGACACATTAGATTTTGACTAAGAAAAAACTTCATCTGGTTGATAACAGACAGCATGGGATATCTCTTCTGTTATGCGATATGTTTTATAGCTCCCTTGGCTCTTGGAAATAGCCTTACTATCCCATACACAGCTTGTGTTCTTATCTCCATAACACAGACTGTTCTCTGTTGATCTACTTACTGTGTGTGATTCTGCTTTAGCTGTTTGATATTTTGTCATTTAATCTTATCATAGATTTCTTCATCATTTATCAGAATGTTGCAAATTCTGTAACTCAACTTTTAACTTTGTTTCCCCTAACATCAGCATCACATTCACCGTTCCTATGTTTGTATTTCTTTCCAACCAGAACAATCTGCAAACATGGGAGAGTGGGGATTTCTGTCATCCCTGCTGGGCAAGGTGCAGTCACACTCCACGGTCGTCGGTAAAGTTTGGATGACTGTCTTGTTTATCTTCAGGATCATGGTCCTGGGGGCCGGGGCAGAGAAGGTGTGGAGCGATGAGCAGTCTAATATGATTTGCAATACCAAACAGCCCGGTTGTAAGAACGTGTGCTATGACCACGCCTTCCCCATCTCCCACATCCGCTTCTGGGTCCTTCAGATCATCTTCGTCTCCACCCCAACGCTGGTGTATCTGGGACATGTCATGCATGTCATCCACAAGGAGAACAAACTGAGGCAACGGCTAAGTCAGGCAGGCAATGAGATGGGGAAAATGCCTAAATATTCTGATGAGAAGGGTCATGTCAAAATCAAAGGTGACTTGCTGGTCAGTTACATGGTCAATATCTTCTTCAGGATTTTGCTGGAGATAGTGTTTATAGTGGGTCAGTATTACTTGTATGGGTTTGTGCTGGACCCCAAGATTGAATGCAGCAGAGCTCCCTGTCCGTTCACTGTAGAATGCTTCATGTCACGACCAACAGAGAAGACCATCTTCATCATCTTCATGCTGGGGGTGGCGTGCGCATCTCTGCTGCTGAATGTGGTGGAGATATTCTATCTGATCTGCTCCAAGTGTGGTTCTGGCTCAAGAAGATGAGCTCAAGCAGTTCCAGCCATCGCAATGCACAGCCGTCTGAATGGAGGTAGTATGATGCAAAACGAGAAGATGAGTCTTCATGCAACTGGTCACAGCACAGCCTGAAGTCACTGATCACCAATCAACTATTGTAAACACTATTGACATTTCTGTTGACATAGCGAGGAAGGATGCCACTGAAACTGTTAGCCCTACAATAATGCAGGGTCTTAAAGGTCCAGTGCAGTCAAAAACGTGATTTTCCTGTGTTTTATAGATATTTCCACATTATGAGGTTTGAATAATGCAGTGAACTTGTGAAAATAATGATAATGCCCTTTCAGTGTAAGAGCTGTTTGAAATGACCACCTGAAATTTCAACCTGTTTTTGTGGGATGGAGTTTTGGCCTTACACAGTGACATCACCATGCGGACCAATAAGAAAGAGAGTTCCAAACATCGCTGCCAATAACAGCTCATTTTCTGTTTTCCCCTCCCTACTCATACCGCTACCAGACAGTCCTATCAAAATTATTGCTTGAGAAATTGCTCTTTGCTAAGAAGTTATTTTTGTTTCTTTTTGACCATTTACAATGAAAACAATCACTTCATTGAAATTATTTGATATTGAGATAAAAACGGCTGCATTGGACCTTTAAGATTATTGTTAGGCTTGGCTTGATTCTGTAAGTAAGGGTTAATACAATACAGTAGGTGTAACAGGACTGATGCTTTGAGCTTTGCTTTATTTTATTTGTTCATGGTGTGCACTAGGAGCAACCTAACTTTCAGCAGTCTTGTTGTCGCTCCTCAGTGAGCTGGTCACCGCAGGGTCTTTCTCTGATGATGTATGAATCTTGATATAATGTGATTCATCATACATTGTTTTGGTTATTGAACCCACACTGTCCTAAAGTGACACTAAATGTCACAACTTCCTCCAAAGCTGCATCCCCTCCTTGTTCGGGCAGGCTTCAGCGTTCGTCGTCACCGGCCTTCTAGCCACTGCCGCTCCTCATCTCATCATTCCATTTGTTTTGTCTTGTTTATTACACACACCTGGTTCATATCCCCTCATTAGTACCTGTATAAGTGTTCCCTCTGCCCCCTTGTCTTTGTGTGTGATTGTTTATTGTGGAGGTATTATAGCTCGGTGGAGCTACTTTGTATTTGTATCGCCGGGATATTCACCCGTGTGCCTTGTTTTCTCCAGAGCGCCGTATTTACCGTACTGGAGTGTATTACGCATCGATGCGTACCTCTGTGTTCCTGATTAAACTATATATTCTGTGATTTACCCTCCTGCGCCTGACTCCGTCCAAAGTCACCCGCCACAGAATCACACACCCAAACATGGAGTCAGCAGGAGAAGAGAACATGCCTGGAGTCGTGGCGCGGGTCTGGGAGCATTCTACTATGCTAGCCAGATTGGGAGAAGCGATGAATCGGGAGAAGCGATGAATTCTGTGATTTACCCTCCTTTTTAAAAAATTTGTTAGTTCACCTTTATTTAACCAGGTAAACCAGTTGAGAACAAGTTCAAATTTACAACTGCGACCTGGCCAAGATAAAGCAAAGCAGTGCGATAAAAACAACAACACAGAGTTACATATGGGGTAAAACAAAACAAAGTCAAAAATACAACAGAAATAAATATATATACAGTGTGTGCAAATGTAGCAAGTTATGGAGGTAAGGCAATAAATAGGCTATAGTGCAAAATAATTACAATTAGTATTAACACTGGAATGATAGATGTGCAAGAGATTATGTGCAAATAGAGATACTGGGGTACAAATGAGCAAAATAAATAACAATATAGGGATGAGGTAGTTGGGCGGGCTAATTTCAGATGGGCTGTGTACAGGTGCAGTGATCGGTAAGGTGCTCTGACAACTGATGCTTAAAGTTAGTGAGGGAGATAAGTGAGGGAGATTGTGACACTCTGGCTCCATGGACTTTGATTATTGAGCCAGGGTTGTTCATTTTCATTGTTTGGGTGTATTTCTATGTTGGGGATTCTAGTTGTTCATTTCTATGTTGGGTGATTGTTCTTGATTAGTCATATGACTCCCAATCGGAGGTAACGAGTGTCAGCTGTCGGCTCGTTATCTCTGATTGGGAGCCATATTTAAATTGTGTGGTTTCTCCTTGGTTTGTGGGTTTTTGTTCCAAGTTCAGTCATTGTCACTGTTGGACTTCACTTTCGTCTTTTGTTTTGTATTGACGTGCTTTATAAATTAAAGTCATCATGTTCACTCGCAACGCTGCGTATTGGTCCGCTTCCTCAGACGATCGTGACAGAAAAACCCACCATCAAAGGACCAAGCAGCGTGTGAAGCGGCAACAGGACCCAGCTCCAAAGGCTTCCTGGACATGGGAGGAGATTTTGGATGGAAAGGGGTCCTGGACTTGGGAGGAGATCCTGGATGGGATGGATCGCCGTCCATGGAGCGAAACGGTGGAGAGGCGACGGCGAGAGGAGCAACGGCGTCAGCAGGGCCATCATCGTTGGAAGGACGAGAGGCAACCCCAAAAAGTTTTTTGGGGGGGGCACATGGCTTGGACGACGGGGCTAACGGAGGCAGAGAAGGGGCGAATTCAAGAGGCAACCAGGTTACGGGGGTCACTGGCCAAAGTAGGGAAAGGAGATGTAGAGGCACGGCGTGAGAGACTGAGGTGTGTATCCAGTCCGGTCCGGCCCGTTCCAGTTCCCGGGGTAGAGCCAGTGGTGTGTGCCTCCAGTACGGTCCGGCCTGTTACGACCCCTCGCACCAAGGATACGGTGCGCTTCGCCAGCCCGGCCCGGCCTGTTCCGGCCACTCGCACCAGGGATACGGTGCGCTTTGCCAGCCCAGCCCGGCCTGTTCCGGCCACTCGCACCAGGGATACGGTGCGCTTCGCCAGCCCAGCCCGGCCTGTTCCGGCCACTCGCACCAGGGATACGGTGCGCTTCGCCAGCCCGGCCCGGCCTGTTCCGGCCACTCGCACCAGGGATACGGTGCGCGTCGCCAGCCCTTTCCCACCAGTGCCTACACCACGCCCCAAGCCTCCTGTGTGTCTCCCGAGTCCTGTGCGTCCTGTTGCTGCTCTCCGCACTAGGCTTAATGTGAGTCCCCAGGGTCCAGCATGCCCTGTTCCGGCTCTCCGCACTAGCCCTTATGTGCGTTCCCAGGGTCCAGCATGCCCTGTTGCTGCTTCCCGCACTAGCCCTGAGATGCGTGTCCTCAGCCCGGTACCTCCAGTTCCGGCACCACGCATCAGGCCTACGGTGCGTCCCCAGGGCCAAGCATGCCCTGTTGCTGCTTCCCGCACTAGCCCTGAGATGCGTGTCCTCAGCCCGGTACCTCCAGTTCCGGCACCACGCATCAGGCCTACGGTGCGTCCCCAGGGTCCAGCATGCCCTGTTGCTTCTCCCCGCACTAGCCCTGAGATGCGTGTCCTCAGCCCGGTACCTCCTGTTCCGGCACCACGCACCAGGCCTACGATGCGCCTCAGACGGCCAGAGTCTGCCGTCTGCCCAACGGGGCCTGAACTGTCCGTCTGCCCAACGGGGCCTGAACTGCCCGTCTGCCCAACGGCGCCTGAACTGCCCGTCTGCCCAACGGCGCCTGAACTGCCCGTCTGCCCAACGCCGTCTGAACTGTCCGTCTGCCAAGCGCCGCAGGAACTGCCCGTCTGTACTGAGCCTGCAAAGCCGCCCGTCTGCCATGAGCCTTCAGAGCCGTCCGCCAGACAGGAGCAGCCAGAGCCTTCCGCCAGACAGGATCAGCCAGAGCCTTCCGCCAGACAGGAGCAGCCAGAGCCTTCCGCCAGACAGGATCAGCCAGAGCCTTCCGCCAGACAGGATCAGCCAGAGCCTTCCGCCAGACAGGATCAGCCAGAGCCTTCTGCCAGACAGGATCAGCCAGAGCCTTCTGCCAGACAGGATCAGCCAGAGCCTTCCGCCAGCCAGGATCCGCCAGAGCCGTCCAGCCAGGATCCGCCAGAGCCGTCCAGCCAGGATCCGCCAGAGCCAGCCAGCCAGGATCCGCCATTCAGTCCGGTGCTGCCCCTTAGTCAGGTACTGTCCCTTAGTCCGGTGCTGCCCCTTAGTCCGGTGCTGCCCCTTAGTCCGGTGCCGCCCCTTAATCCAGTGGGGTTTAATTGGGGGGTGGTCAGGTGGAGGGGGCTACGGAAGCGGATAGTGACTAAGGTGGGGTGGGGACCACGACCTGGGCCAGAGCCGCCACCATGGACAGACGCCCACCCAGACCCTCCCCTAGACTGTATGCTGGTGCGCCCGGAGTGCGCACCTTTAGGGGGGGGTACTGTGACACTCTGGCTCCATGGACTTTGATTATTGAGCCAGGGTTGTTCATTTTCATTGTTTGGGTGTATTTCTATGTTGGGGATTCTAGTTGTTCATTTCTATGTTGGGTGATTGTTCTTGATTAGTCATATGACTCCCAATCGGAGGTAACGAGTGTCAGCTGTCGGCTCGTTATCTCTGATTGGGAGCCATATTTAAATTGTGTGGTTTCTCCTTGGTTTGTGGGTTTTTGTTCCAAGTTCAGTCATTGTCACTGTTGGACTTCACTTTCGTCTTTTGTTTTGTATTGACGTGCTTTATAAATTAAAGTCATCATGTTCACTCGCAACGCTGCGTATTGGTCCGCTTCCTCAGATGATCGTGACAGAGATAGTGAGGGAGATAAGTGTCTCCTGCGTCTGACTTCGTCCGAAATCACCCGCAACACTAAAAATTGTTTCAGAAAATATTTGTAACTTCGTCATGTGAATATGTCAATTTGATTTAGTAATTTATTTATGTTTTTGTAAAAAGATAAAATGTGAGCTTTGTCTTGAATGTATTTTATGTTATATTTATGTTTTATGTTACAGGGGACTGGTGAGATGTTTTTTCTCTATGTGTACATCATATATATAAAAAAAAGTCAATCGTGTAGCAAAACAGGACTTTGATGTGTAAATTATATCAGTGATTTATTTGGCTCAGACCAAAACATAAGCTGTATACACAGTATAGTCTTCATGGGTCAAGAGGTCAAACAAACTTGT